TTCCCCTCTTCCTTCTTGCTCTTTCCTCTTTCCTCCTCGCTCCTCCCGTTTTTTTACGCGCCATTCAACAGTGAATGAAAGAACAAAGGTACTGACAAGAGAGGAGCAGGAGTTCTCCCATAGAAGCAGAACGTCAAGGATGAGAAGGAAGAGTGAAGGTACTGACAAGAGAGGGGGAGGATGCTTGATCCTACTACCCTCTTCTACCTACATCTCTCTGTCTTCTTTGTTCTCTTCTTGGAAATGGGAGGACAAGGCCTTCCTCACAGTCCCATCTTCTCTCAAACCCCTGGGAGGCCCTTTTAGGGAACCCCTCGGTGAAGCCCCCTGCGAAAACTGCAGGCCCTGTTGGATATTGAAAGGAGTATAAAGTACTGACAGAACGAGGGAATGAGAACGACAGACACGGAGCAAGAGAGAGAGAGAGAGAGAGAGAGAGAGAGAGAGAGAGAGAGAGAGAGAGAGAGAGAGAGAGAGAGAGAAACAGAAAAAAGGATAGAGAAGCAACTGTCCTCTCCAAGCTGTTTTCAGAGTGACCCCAAAGACTCAGACCGTCCCTTTCTCCTCTCCCTTTCTGTCCACCATTCATTTTCGCTTGTTGCGTTTTTTTATCGTATCATTCTCAAAGTCTCTCTCTCCCTCTCTCTCGCCCGCTCTCCCCTTCCTGTCTCTTCTCCTCTTCATTCTACTCCCGCTTGCTTCTCCCCATCCCGTGCCCCATTTCTCCTAGCCCCTCCAAGACGAAGGTCAAGGATAAGAGAGGAGACGGGAACGACCAGAAAGAAAGAGGAGTTCTCCTTGTTCCGTCTACCTTACTCGTTTTTTGTTCTTAAATTCGAAAGGGGTAGAAAGCGTCATCCTCTCTCGCCCCTCTTCCCCTTTTGAAGCTCTCTCTGGAAAGCCTCTCATTGGAAACCCCTGTAGGTTCCTGAGAAACAGACGTATGGCAAAGGGCTTTAGAAATAGGCAGTGAGGAGCACGCCCGCAACGAAACGTTCATAAGGACGGATGTAGGTGAGAAGAGTGGGGAAATTATAAATATACAGAAAGAGTAAGCGCAGACGGAGAAGGGAGACAGAGCGAGAAACAGAGAAACATAGAGAAGAAAAGAGAAGCAATGAAGAGAATGAAGGAGGAAGTCAGTACAAGAAACGGCCTTTTGCTGCCTGTTGGCTTTCCCCTCCTCCTGTCTTTATCTGTTTGTTTCTTACTGAGGAGGAAGTGGAAGCAGGAAGAGCAAGAATGAAAGACTCTCTCGCTCTCTTCGTTCGTTTTCTTGTCCTTTAAGGGTGTGGGAAGGGGGGTGAGGAAGGGAACAGGAGAGGAGGGGAGGAGGACACAATGTCACATGGCAGGCTGGGGAAGGGGTTGGACGCCCGTTGCTTCCAGAAAATTCTGGACCCCCCTGCAGGCCCCCTACAGGCTCCGCGAGGCCCGGAGGCCCCTGAGATACAGTAACACTGGGATGGGATAGGGCCATACTCGTGGCTCTCTCGCTTTCTCTGCTGAAGCCTTCCTCGTCTCCCCTGTTCTCTTTCTCACGCGATGTTTTTCCTCTCTCTCTCTCTCTCTCTCACACTTTCACTATCTCTTGTCCCCTTTTGCCTTCCCTCGCATCGCTCCACGCCCTCCCTACCCTTCCCTCCTTTCCACACCCTTCTCAAATGAGAAAGCAAAAGAAGGACGAAGAAAGTAGGGAAAGGACGATTTCGCCCCGCCTATGCCACTTTCACTCATCCGCTTTCACCCCCTCCCTCGCGCCATGCCCTACACTAAGAGAAGAATAGGAATGGAAGCGATAAGTGGGAATGCAGAGGAAAAAGGGACTTCTTCTTTTTCATTCAGCTTAGGCATACAGTCATTCTTTTCACCTCTCACCCTCTCCCTCCCTCCCTTTCTCTCTCTCTCTCTATCTCTCTCTATCTCTCTCTCTCTCTCTCTTTATCTCTCTCTGTCTCTCTCTCTCTCTCTATCTCTCTCTCTCTCTCTCTCTCTCTCTCTCTCTTTCTCTCTTGTATTGTTCTTTCTCTTTTTCTTTCTTTTCTTTTTCGAGTGGTATGTCTCGTAGAATTGGAAGAGGAGCAGGAGGCTGAGAGGAATGATAAGGAAGAACTACAAAGAAATAGATTTGCAGAAGAAGAGAGGGAACGAGACAGGGCGAGGCATTGAGAGAAGCATAGACCGTGGGAGACAAAGAGAGAGAGGGTTTCTTGGCTTCCCTTCCTCAAGCCCATATAATTTTCTTTAAACAGAAAGGCAAGAAGATAAAAGAGAAGGGGGGAGCTTACATGTTTTCCTACCTTGCTCCCCCCTCTTCTCTCCACTATCCCTCTGCTTCTTCTTCCACCGGCTCGCTCTCTTTACCTCTCTACCTGTCTTTCTTTTACAGGCGGTACGTCTTGTAGAAGTGGAAGACGAGAAAGAGGGTCGGCTGCAAGAAAGAGATTGGCTGAAGCACAGAGAGAGAGAGAGAGAGAGAGAAAGACAGAGAGAGAGAGAGAGAGAGAAAGAGAGAGAGAGAGAGAGAGAAAAAGAGAGAGAGAGAGAGAGCGGGCGAGGCACAGAGAGAGGCATAGACCGTGGAAAGAGGGTCTCTTGGTTCCCACCCATTGCTAAGAAGATATTGGAGAAGTCGAGCTTACATGTCTTCCTACCTTGCTCCTCCCTCTCCCTGTCTCGCTCTTGCTCTCGCACTCAGTCTCGTTCTTTCCTTGTCGGTGGGTCTTTCACTCTCACTCTCACTCTCACTCTCACTCTCACTCTCACGCTCACTCTCACTCTCACTCTCACTCTCACTCTCACTCTCTCTCTCTCTCACTCTCTCACTCTCTCACTTTCACACTCTCTCACTCTCTCTCTCTCTCTCTTTCCCTCTCCCTCTCCCTCTCCCTCTTCCTCCCTCTCCCTCTCTCCCTCCCTCTCTCCCTCTCTCTCTCTCTCTCTCTCTCTCTCTCTTTCTTTTTCTTTTCTTTTCTTTTCTGAGTGGTATGTCTCGTAGGACTGGAAGAGGAGCAGCAGGGTGAGAGGAATGAAAAAGGAAGGTCCTTTCCAAATAGCAAATAGCAAGTACCGTGCCCCTTAGGTTTTTGGAAAGAACTCTTTTTTCCCCATTAGCAAGTCGCAAGCACCGTGCCCTTTAGATTTGGAAAAACCTTTCCCAAATCCCAAATCGCAAGCACCGTGCCGTGTCCCTTAGGTTTTTGGAACGAATTCGTTTCCCAAATAGCAAGTCGGAAAAACCTTCCGAAATACTGAATCGCAAGCGCCATGTCCCCTTGAATGTTGGAAACTAACCCTTCCCGAATGAAATCGCAAGCACCGTGTCCGGCAGTCCCCTAGGTTTTGGAACAAATTCGTTTCCCAAATAGCGCATCGTAAGCACCGTGCCCCGTAGACTTTTTTCGATTCCTTCTCCAATACAGAATCGCAAGCGCCGTGCCCCTTAGGTTTTTGGACCAGATCCCTTTCCCAAATAGCACATGGTAAGCACCGTGCCCCTTAGGTTTTTGGAACAGGTTCCTTTCCCAAGTAGCAAATCGCAAGCACCGGCCCTTCCCCATCTTCTTCTTCTCATTACACCGGCTCGCGCTCTCTCTCTCTCTCTCTCTGTCTGTCTCTCGCTCTCGCTCTCGCTCCCGCTCCCGCTCCCGCTCCCGCTCCCGCTCCCGCTCTCGCTCTCGCTCTCGCTCTCGCTCTCGCTCTCGCTCTCGCTCTCGCTCTCGCTCTCGCTCTCGCTCTCTCTCTCTCTCTCTCTTTGTTTCCTCTATGTCTTGCCTCTCTCTCTTTCCTCTCTCTCTCTGTTCCTTTCTCTATCTCTTTCTCCTTCTCTTTAACTTTCTCTTCCTCTTTCTCTTTATTTTTCTGTTTTTCTTTATCTTTCTCTCTCTCTCTCTCTCCTTCACACACTCTCTCTCTCTCTCTCTCTCACTCTCTTTTCTTTCTCTTTCTCTCGCACACAAGGCATAGACAGAAGCACAGACCGTGGGGGAGAGAGGGCCTCCTGGCTTTCTCCTTATCTGTTTTCTCTGCTTTCTTTCTTGCTGAAGAGAAAGACAAGAACATAGGAGAGAAGGAAACTTTGCACCTTCTTCTTACCATGCTCCTGACTCTTCTCTCTTCCCTACCCCCCTCTCGAGTTTCTTTCTCTATTCCTTTCTTTTTTCTTGTGTTTTGCTGTCTTTCTTTCTGTTCTTCAGCGGGCTTCAGGGCAGGAGATTTCCCCCACCCCCGCTCTCTCTCTTTCTGTCTCTCTGTCTCGCTGTCTCTCTGTCCTCTGTCTCTCTGTTTCTTTGTCTCTCTTTCTTTTCTGAGTAGTATCGAAGAATTGGAAGAGGAGCAGGAGGGTGAGCAGGAAGAACTACCAAGAAATAGGTTTGCAGAAGAAAAAAGGGAATGAGACAGGGCGAGGCATTGAGAGAAGCATAGACCGTGGGAGAAAAAGAGAGAGGGTCTCTTGGCTTCCCCTTCTGAAGTCCATATGAGTTTCTTGCATGCTAAAGAGAAAGACAAGAAGATAATCGAGAAGAGGAGCTTACATGTCTTCCTACCTTGCTCTTCCCTCATCGCTCCCCCTCCTCTCTGCTCGCTCGCTCGCTCTCTCCCCCTCTCTCCCCCTCTCTCCCCCTCTCTCCCTCTCTCTCCCTCTCTCTCTCTCTCTCTCTCTCTCTCTCTCTCTCTCTCTCTCTCTTTCTCTCTTTATCTCTTCTTTTCTTTTATGGGCGGTATGTCTGGTATCTCGGCCTGGGGAATCTCTTGACGAAGTGCACGGAGAGAAAACGAAAGCTCTGAAGTATAATGACGGACATGTAAAGTAAAGGTATATGCAAATTATTTTATAACCAAGAGCAAAAGCCAAATGGGACATAAGTATGTATATATATATATATGTATCGATTTAAGTATGGGATAAAGGTAAACAGAGCCCTGCGCCAAATAGAACATAAAGGTCCTTGCCACATAGTATTATACTGATTCATGGTTTGAGACTAAGAATTACCAGCCTTGATGTGGCCGACAAGAGCCTGAGGCAGATCCTGGCCACGCTGATAGGATTCCAGGAACCAGTCAGACTCCTTGTGCAAGATGTGCTCTAGGGAGTCTGCCATAACGACAGCATGCCCCGCAACCATAACCATGTGGCTGAGCTGACGGAGATTGCTGATGTTGAAGGCGATGCCCGTTGACTTGCTCTGCACAAATCCAGCATGTATGGCGCTGAACCTCAACCAGCAAATCAGCCCCATCGCGATGGCAAAAAGGCTCAGGAAGAAGGATAGCAGCCGAGCACTCTTCATCCAGAGTGTATTGCGACATCCTAGTGATCCCAGTGTAAGGGGCAAGGGCAGAAGAGCTGCCTTGCCAAAACAATCCTTTCCATCCCCACTCGGCAGGGCCGACCAGTCTTCAAACATCGAAGCTTCAGAGGGGGCGGCTTGATGCGTGTTAATGCGGGTGGCAAATGCGAGTTGTGCTTTTTGCAATTCAGACATGACCAGACCTTGCACTGCCCAATTGTTGATGCGTGAGGTTGTTTGGCCGTCTCCGCTACTAGGCTGAGTGTGCAGCTGCATTGCCTTCAAGTCATGTCAAAGCGAGTAGTCATGCAGCGCCTCATGACCATCACTGTAGTTCAGGGTCGACGGGAATCATTAATATGGGAACTTTATTGATTTTGTGTCGGTCGCAGTGGTGGCGGCGCTTTTCGACTGTGGCCGGCACTGGCATGGCTGCATGTTCCCCTGCCCAGTGCCAAACAATACCTGCCATCCTCGGACTACGCTGACTACATATGGTCTCGCTTTTTGCTGAAGTTGGCTGAGGGCAATTCTGTACAGCAGAATGAAACGAATGGGGAGAGTCTCCTTCGCCAGGAGCTCAAGGGTTGACCCGAACCCTCTTTTCAGGGCTCGTGGTCGACAGGAACGTGCATGCTCGGATGCGGAGCGCCATCTCAACTCCCGAAGGGGTCGAAAACACGTAGATGGCACACCAAACTCAACGACTCGCGAAGGAGCCAATGTGATACTGCTCCGTCGTGCCCGGTTGACCTTGCATGGGAGGCCCTGGGGGCCATGAACACATTGACATTCGCCCTATAGACCCTATGCTGTGGGAAACTTGGCTCTCGAGTAGCTCAGGCTCAAGGCTCGAGTCTGGACGAGGTTGCCCATCGAAATACCAACCAGACCTGCTGTGCAACTGCTCGAAGTTGGTCTATTCATACGGAAAACGACGATAAGGACCGGATACTCGACGCTATCGCACAAAGAAACTGTGCTTCCCAATGTGGACACTTTTGCTTTCGAGGTGCAGCGTGTTTGCAGGAGCAGAATTCGGGGAACTTGCACGGTACCTCAGCCGCAAAGAGCCGAACACAGTTAGCACCCGTGAGCCCTCGTCTAGGTCCGCCTTAGCTCAGGGCATTTGTACATAACAACCTATATAGTATCTTAGTACAATATGTACATATATATAATATGTATATATTATATTTATATATATATATATACATATATGTTGAAGCCTCCGGCTATTGAGTGTCAGGCCATTGGCTCAAGGTCGCGAACTCCTCCCAACTGCTGGTGCGGGGACAGCATGTCTGACAAGTGCCGATGTCACTTGGAAACAGATGTTACAGCAATTGACCCGCATGCTGTGAACTGCACATGGCATCGATGTCCTGGGACTGCACCGGCTTCGGGGGAATTCCAGCCCAAGCTGCCCTGGTTGGGACTTCAATTCAGCGACTGCGAGAACCCTACACCCTGGTTGATGAGGGCATGAGCTGATCAGCGTTAAAGAAAAAAGGAGGAGGGCCTCTCCAACTCGTCTTCCAGGAGGTCGAAGCTGGCAAGGGGGCGTCCGCTGCTGTGCCAGGCTGCTATGCCTCTGCCGACAAGCGCTGTTGCCCCATGCGACTACCACCATAAGGATGACGAGAATGACAACACCGCCGCCAAAAACGAGTAGCACCATAGTGCGAACATGTGCTCACATGTGCTCACAGGTGTTAACCCTTCCTGGCGCCTTCCAGCTCCTCCTGAGCGCCGTGGCCATCCACACGCCCACCTTTGGCTTCGACGAGGCGCTGGGCGAAGCTCGTCATGGCCTCCTGGATTGAAAATTCTGGAGACCAGTCCGGTAATCCGAGACCCTAAGGCCCTAAGCCCAATTGGGGTCAGGATCACCTCGGGGCCCTAGTCATGGTCATTCCCCCCCCCGACTCTGAAGCCCACCATGGTACTAGGTTCAGATTTCATCAGGTTTCGAGTTTAGGGCCGGACAGGAGAAATTCACACGGCAAGTCGCAAACAGGGCCGCGGCCTTGTCCCGAATATTCGCAAGGTGTCTGTAGCCTGCGCGTCTCCAAGTGCAAACGGTGCCAGTTTCTCGTGAGCTTGTTTCTCACAGCTGAAGTTAAGTTCATAGAATGGAGCAGCACTGCGCAATGCAGGTGCCCGATGGCGCTTGCTCTAGCCCTGCCTAAGAAGCACTCAAGACTCAAGGTATTCTCAACACCTGTCGGCTTTGATCTGAACCCGGTTCTGCTGAGATGACGGGCCTTCTTCCGTGAGCGGCACATCTTTGGTAGGTGAGGTGCACTCCTTCACGCACGGAAGCTGTGGTCGTAAACGACATGTACAATCTCTGAGGCCATGCAGGGGCGGCCTCCGCACGACGAAGCCTGCCAACATGTCCAAGACCGCACTGATCCCTCCATCCCAATCTGCTCTGAAAGGTGCAATGACTGCATTTCCCAATCGCTAGGTGGTGTGGGACATCAGATGTCAAGGAAACTCCCCTCCGATCCCCGAGTCACTGCCTTGACTCAGCCAGCAGCTGCCCAGCAATACCGAAGCCAACGGCGGAGCCGCTCAAGGAAGACTGGGACAAATTCTTTGGAGCGGAGTCTTCGGGAGCCTTCTTTAGATGCCCCTAGGCAACGAAGGCTCACAGTGTCGCTGTCGTATTCTTGTTGTATTAAAGCTTTGCCCTGCTTGTTTGTGGGGCTAATTCGTTTCGGGTTTAGGGCTAGCATCCTCTGCAGCTACTGAGCTGTGTCTCGCAATGGAAAGCACTAGTCTGTAGTTGCTGCAACTTTGCATCGCTGCATCACCTACCTCCCTTCTTGCAGATTCGCCGAGAGGATACTAAATTGTAGTAGAGATCATCCAAGAGGTGATGTTCATCTGCAGAGGCGCCCCAAAAGGCCCAGCAGAAAATCTAGACTGCGGAAGATTCGAGAATGCGACCACTGCTCCGAAGAAGCTAATTACTTGCGTTTACGGGAGAGCTGGAGGACTGGAAAGGCCATGGCAAGACATGCCATGTCATGAAGCCGGCAGGTCTCCAGACCCGTCGATTTTGTCAGAACTTGCAGGGTTCAACTATCAGGAGATTGCTTCAGGTTCTGGAAGGTAAAGTATGCCTCTGCTTTGGTGGGTTGTTGGAAACAGTCCGAAGCCCAGCACCGACCATGCATACGAGTTGCACAGGCCGCAGTACAAGCTGAACCATCTGCTGAAACCTGAGTTTCGCGGGTTTGGTTATACAGTAGGGACAGGTCCCTTTCAGGAGTCAAGCCAATCGAGGGTGTGCAATGCAAGTACCTCAACCCCATAGTAAGCCCTCTAGACATTTCAATTTCTGCCCCCCTGTCAAGCTGAATGGAATCCTTCCATTCCTTCCGGATGACATTCTTGGCTAGTGGCCGCTGAAACTGCTTGGGCAGGGGTCTCTCGATTCTACATCTACCCCAAAAACTCAACCCCAAAGCCCCAAACCTAAAACCCTCAGATCAAGCTGCGGTCTGGCGGCCTCTGAGCCGAACCTTGTAATGCCCTTGGCTGCTGCGACCGGCGATGAGACGGTAGAGTCCTCGGCCCAATTTGTGCCAAAGACTCGCAGCCGCACGCCCGTGATGCCCAATATGCAACTTAGCCTCGATATCGTCTTCAAGCTCGGCGCGGCTCTTGCGGTATGCCTGAGGTGGTGGTGACCTGGCTACTTGACAGCAGCCCTGCACGCAGTACACGGTGAAGCAGCTCATAGCAACAAACCTTGAAAGGTTTTGCAGCTGGTTTCCGGTGCCTGCTCTCGCAGACTGGCCAGTCCTTGCGGCTGCGTGGGAACTTGACTTGCGGAGCTATGGGCGGTATGTGTACTTGGAACCATCATCGAGAATTGCACGGGAGAAACCAGAAAAGAGACATGTAAACCCCAAAAGCGCCCCCGCATAACTGTTATCCTGAAATATGACACAGAATCACTTAATCTCTTGCTATTGCTGTTGCTGCTGTGAGTAAGCATACTGTATTGTCACGTGATGGATTGTGGAACAATCAGCATGTGTCCTGTTTGGGCCTGCTGCCGCAGCAGTGCTGGCCCATGGCTGGATACCAAATTTCGAAAAGTCAAGGTGCCGGAAGCATTCTACTAATCTTCTAATGTTTCCTGTTTCCTGCTAGATATACACTACATTTATTCTGCAGTGCTCCCTGGAGGTCATGCAGCACTCCTCTTGACGGGACAGTCGCACGTTCCCGTTCAAGGGCTCAAGTGAAAGAGGCTGCAGAGGAACAGCCTTCTCGTGTGTCACGGCATTGAAGTCATGCCTAAGCTGGCGCCATGCAGAACAGAACCCTGCTCATGTGGGTCAATGTGGGTCGGCTCGTCTATGTCTATACTTTACCTACTCGCAGTGTCGTCTGTGGCCCCTTGCTATTTCTGATGCCGGATTGCTCGTCAGTTGAAGCTTCCTCGAAGCCTTTCGGCCGACGAAGTCACTTCAACGCCAATGCTTCTGCGAAGATCAGAGCCATGTAATTAGGGACCCCATGAGAGTGAAGTGCCTGGGCCTCGGCCCTCTATGAAAACCCTCAACCCGAAACTCTCAGCTCTTTTTCAAGCATCCTCAGGATGTTCCAGGCCAACTCAGAAGCCTGCCACCTCTCCGACCCCTCCCACAGCCGGCCAAAGCCTGCAGAGCTCGCACGCGAAGGAGATTCTGCCCAAGATGCCAGGGATTTTCAGGGCTTAGGGATGATAGGGCATATAATAGGGCTTACTAGAAGGGTCTGTAGGGTTTGTGGGTTTCAGCTGCTTCTGCTCCTTGCTTCCCTCGTGTCTTGCATCGACTGCAAAACATGGATGTGGGGTCGAAGGGCTGTCGTGGAGGCTTCTCAACTCTGCAGTTCAGAAGTTCAGGGTTTTCGGGATAAACGGTTTAGGGCGAAGGGGGCTGGGGCTCTTCTACACCGCTTCACCGCAACCATGCTTTCGTAACGGGAATGCAGTATGCAGGGACCGCAATGCAGTCTGTGCCGACTTTTCTCTGCTGCCCCGCTGCCTGTTGAAAAAGCTAAAGCTCGAAAAGGACCACAGATACAGGGCGACAGCACATGCCACCCAGACCTTGATCCCGTGGCTCCAGAGTCTTGTGGGCACTGTTGGCATCCCCACACATCTGCCGAACCGGGGCTCTTCTGTGCTGCTAGTCCACCAACTGCGCATTCGTGACGCGCGCATAACGACCTGCTGTAGCTGGCCATTGTGGACCTCCGGTTCACGTTGGTCGCTCCTCCGAGCTGTGTGAGGCCAACCAGATGCGGACGCCTCAGGATGCTGTGCGTTTACCTTTCTGCATTCTGAGGCTGCCCAAGGGCCTGTCACAGCAATGTACCTTTGAAGCTTGAAGTGCCATTGAAACACTGTCCGCCGCACAATCTTGCAGCCTGGATACGCCGCGCTACCTCACCCGGGGTTTCTTCGGGGCCGGCTGCTTCGTCAGCTCTGCCTCCCTGGCCAAGTCTGCCTGTTTGGTCAGCTCCGCGTAAGACCTCAGCCAAATCCCAGCAAGACATGCTCAACTGTCCGCTGAAAAGCCTGTACCATGTATAGCCCACTTGAAAAAGTCCCGATACCCCCGGAAAGGTAAATTTTGGAATCTGCTGGAAGCCTGGGCACTGTCCCGACACGTAGAGCGCAGCTGCATTGAGGGCTCCATCCCACCCAAACAAAGCGACCGGGAAGTTCCGGGAAGGGGGTCTTCCTTCCTTCGGGGTCAGGGGTTATAGGGAACTTCTAGGGCTTAGGGTAAACAGGAGTTTCTACGGAGCTGCGGGGTTTCAGGGAATGTTGCCGCCTAGGCCCCTTCTGCCTTGCTAACAGGCTTTGGGGGTGTTTATGTGGGGTTTGGGGACATGCAATTTGAAGCGCCTGTTGACGACTTCAAGGGTTTCAGGTTGAAGGGCAGGTCAAGCTGTGCTTTTATTCCGGCGACTGCGAAACGTCGGTATGAAGCTTAGTCATTCGGGTCGAAACGACATGACTCCCAGAATGAGAGCTTTCTGGGTTAAGGTTACAGGGTTGGGCGTCCTTGGCGTCCTTTGCTGCATGGGCATCCGGATGTCTCTTGCTAGATGGTGTATCACCTCGGAAGGTCAATCAAAACAACCCTCCGACATTTTGGTACCCACATAAAGCGAACGCGAGACCGCGAGGCATCCGAATTCGCACCAACTTCGATTCGCCAAGCCACATCTGAACTCCACTCGGAACGCTCCGTTCTCCAGGTCAGCTTGAACGCTGCCCCAATCCAGGCGCATCTGCCAAAGCAGCAAAGTGCACACCCCTACGATCACCGACGGCAGCCACGGACGGCAGTCCTCCCCTCTAACTGGCGAATACACCACTGCATCTGGGTTCCAACATGTGCAGCACAACAACTGCAATCAAAACTGCATATTCATGCCGCAACTCCGTGGGTTTGATGCGGTGTGCCTCACTGCACCAGGGAATGGGGGTGTTGGACGAGAGATGTGCTGCACAACGGAGTTCGTGGAGCGAACACCGGCGACTGCATTTCCTCAATTCGCTCCTTAGACACTCGAGAGATGGCTTCGCATGGTTTGAAGCGTTTAGGTTTAGGGCGTAGGTAGGTGACCAGCTTCACATATAACGCACTTCGCCAGCACATGTTGAGTCCATCAGCGTGGCTTTGTTAAGAAGGCGTCAGTGACAGTGCGGTAGGTTGGAATGGCGGCGCAAATGTTTCGCGCGAGGGGTGCAGCCAGGCTTCTTCCGCCCGACTTGGCAAAGACAGAACCCTGGTTGCGGGAAGTTCTCCTTCAAAGCTTCGATGTGGGCTGCGTCGGCCTGCACCTGGAAGATGTTACAGATGTTGCTGTTAAAGGTCAAGAGACCCCCCCCAGCACAGGCGCACATCCATTCTGATGATCCCCATTTAAGAGGTCTTTCACAAGTTCCACCGAGAACCCCCGGGAACCCCAACAGCTGGCACCGTTATCTGACAGCTCTCTGGAAGCCCTGGCCGGCCCCTAGAATCCTAAGCCCCTAGATGCGGAACAGCAGCTTGCCGAGGGTCTGGAGCTGAAGCGGATGCCTCCCCGCCTCAAAAGCTGAGCTCACTTGGCACATCTGAGCATGCCTGATTTACGCAGCGACATCTTTGAGTAGCAAGAGTAGCTGAAGAGAAGAATCAGCAGCACCGGCCTTCGGATTCCAAAGCACGTCCATTCGAAGCTGGGTTTGCAAGGTCTGCAGACTCTGCAGTGGAATCTGCGACGCCAGCGCCTGCAGCGGGCGTCTCTGCTGAATCGCCCGGCAGCCAGGAAGAGAGAAAGGAGGACGACGAGCTGACACAGGTCTCACGTCCTCCCGATTCAATTATGCCAAATATGCCCGAAAAGCAGGCCAACATAGGCCGACTGAAACCTGCCGAACTCTCTCGCATCCGCGTCCTGCACCCTCTTTGGACTCGTTGGCTGGTGGTGCCGACTGTGGTTCCGCCTGCTGCCTCAGCCTCGGTGCAGCCAATACGCACTTTCACGATGGGAAGCCATAAAGGAGTCAGAACCATGCGGCTGCCTTCCACTTGCTGAAGACTTTTGTTCAGGAGTCTCATCATCACGCTCCTGGGCTTGGACTCGGATGTGGGCAGCGTACGCCGGCATGCACCGACTTTGCTCTAGACACTTTGCCGGGCCGAGGTGCTGTTGGTGCTGGAGAGCCATTCACAATCCTGTGTCCAGCAAGAGAGTGTAGTCATGTAAAGATGTAAAGTATCTCGGGCCACTGGTGCCCGAACTGACTGCTGCAAAGGCACTCCACTGCCGGCCGCTGACTGGCTTTGGGGGACGGCAGCTGCCCGATGTCCTGAAGGACGTTAACATAGCATGACGCACATGCTGGAATGCCGCATCCCCGGCACTGCCTCTGTCTGCCCGTCGCCTTTCGACAAGGGCGGCTTCTCGGATGCTTCCTTGGGACCCCAGAAACACGCCTACATTCGCCTGCACCACCGTGCACTGAAACTTGAACAGAGGCGAAGCAGTTTTGGTGACAGCTGTTTTGTCAAGTCTCTGCTGGCTCCCCCCAGATCTTCGAAAATACCTGGCAGGAGAGTCCGATCAGCAGGCCTCAGGGTGTAGATAACCACGTGGGTATCTAACGGTATCTACGCTGCTGGGCGCAGATCCCATGTGCCGCTCCTGGAAGTTCTTTTGGCAGTCTTGCAAATATCCATCCAATGGCGCGATGCTTTCTCCAGCAACACGGAAGAGCGTCCTGCAAGGAATTTAAAGGCAGCTTGCCTGCGTTTCAAATTTCAGCTCCCGGCTGCGAATGCTTGTGTACATGGCATCGTGGATTGAATGTGAGGTATGCTTGCCGAGGCACCCAATCAAGGATGCCTTTTGCCTGAGCCTTGCAAATCTGTATGAGACGAGCAAGTCCAGCGTGCTTTCATTCTCAAACAAAAGATATAAAAAGATGCTCAACAGCTAACTGCACATGGCATGGTCTGAGGGGGGCCTCGGCAAGGACACGTCTTCTTGCGCTTCAGTCTCTTGGTGCTTCGTCGCAAGGCCCTGTTCAGTTGTCCCATTTTCACAGGGGCCTTGGCCCGGCGTTCCTTCTCTGCCTGCACGGGCATGGCAACGGATGTGCGGTATCTCAAATGTGAATGCCCTCAACTTCAACCGGAACTGCTTCGAAGATCCCACGGTTCGCAAGTAAGGGGCTGGCAAGGTCAGGATGGAACTAATGGGGACTTTGTCTATTCACGGCATTCGCTCCTCACTGCTACTACTGTAGGCACATCGTAGGTGGGCCTGGGCTACTGCTTCACAAAGAAGACCTCGTGTCATCAGAGGTGGGTCATGGAGCCGTGTCTTTTCCCGTGCAAGCCGAGAGCACTCAACGATGGCGACACTACTTACTGGACCTCCCTGGCATTTCCTTCCGAGCTCTGCCAGCCGCAGCCCTTGCCAGATAGAAGCTTGCAGGTTGCAATGTCTCGGAGGCCAGAAGCTTCTGTATGTCCAAACGTTCTGCCGCCCTGGTGCAGGCTGCATCTACATCGACACCCAGGGCTGAGAGTCCGTGCTGGTTTGCAATTGCAAGGACAGTGCCGCGACCGCAGAAAGGGTCGATGATGAGCCCAGTTGTAGGCTGCACCTTGCAGATCCACCCAAGCACTGCCTCTACTGCGCCTGTGCCCATGCCCTGAGCGTAGATCTTGCGTCCTCTGGGAATCAGATCGGGGATCGTGCACTTGGAGCTCAGGGCAGCACGTCCATCATCGTGGCAGGTGTCTTCCCAGCGTGGGTCCACGGCAGCAAGAGGCTTGACCAGGAAACACAAGAGGTGGGAGTAGTCTGCACTACTGCCGCGACGTGGCACGCCCACCGCATCAGGATCGAAGCTGATCTTATGCCAGAGCAAGGATGCTCCAGCCTTGTCTGCCTCCTGGCAGATCATGGAAGCCTTGTCAAGCCAGAGCCCGCTGCTGCAGATGTCTGTCTGTAGAAAAACAACAATGGTCTCCTCCTTACAAGCTCTAAAGAGCAACTCAAGTGCTCGTCGAAACCAGGCGACATACGTCTTGAGTGACATGTTTTGACCTTTCTTAACTTCTGACCAATCTGGCAGAGATGTGACGACACAGGAGTTTTCAGGAAAGCCGCCTTGCCCCAACTCTCGCATCCATTCCAGAGCATCCCGGAGCAGAACAGTTCTTGCTGTCCCTGCTCCAGAAGGCAGATGACGCGGGACTTCTTCTGCAGAGCTCGGCCGAAGGAACCCGAAACAGCAATGCGGAGTGTCAACGGTCTCAGCAGGTGGCCACCAAGCTGCGCAGAACGACTTGAACGAACGCATGAGCGACAAGCGGACTAGTCTGTGGGCAGGAGATGCAGCGGCAAGAGAAACATGTGTCAGCACATGTCAGCACGTGACGTGCTTGGCCAGCTTGCCTCCATCGTGCACCTCCATGACTTCGGCCAGAGTGTGCTCTGCCACGGTGCAGATGGTGTTGTGGCCTCATGCACGATCTTGGCAAGGATGGTCTGTAGATGTCTGAAAACTACCAAGAATCGGCGGTCGTGACAAGACAATGTCAGACAGAGGGCCAAAGAAGCCCCCAAACTCGCGCCGCAAAACCGCGGCAGCTTCGTCGTCCTTCGCTGGGAGAGGCGCTGGGAGCGTCCCAGTGCTGGGTGAGAATTCGGGAGCCAGGCCTGCGAGAGCAGCTGGCAAAGCGGAGTGACTTCGACGTCGAGATTTCCTTCGGTGCACTGCAACACAGCAAGAGGCCTCCAACTTGTTCGAATCACACATTTGGAAATGTTACAAAGTTCTGCAAACATGCGACTTCGCACCGGTACGTCATGGCCTCATCCTTGCATTCTTTGCCGAGCCACTCTGCTTAAGCTGTCCTCCTTCATCCTGTGTGCGGAAGGCGATGAGCTCATGATGCACGCTGCCTGACATGAGCAAGCAAAAATGTTGCTCATCTTTCCCTACGTCCCTAAGTTGAACCACTCCACACAGCTCAGGTGTCTGTTGCTTCAAGAGACCAGAGTCACCATAGTTGAACACTCCAAAGATCAATCCAACAAAGTCCTGGAGCTGGGATGGCCGGCGCATCGCACTGCATCCGCATGGACGCACTGACACTACTCCCTATATAATCCGAGGCAAGGAGCTGCGTCCATGATCTGGTACTGCAGCTGAGTTCGAAGATCCACGTGGCTTGGAAAGCAAGTGATGTGCGGGTGGGAATGGTACCATCCCACCACCCTTGTACGGCACTGCAGTACCTGAAGCATTCGAGGACTTTGCGGGCCTCACGAACGCTGGCCAGCCTCCAGAACCCTAAATTACCTTACACTCTACACGCCTATACAAACTTCTCCCTTCGGTCTCCCGCCGCCGGGCCTGGTTCAACTCTTCTGCCACATGCACTGCCTCATGTCGACGCGACGTGCGCTGCATTCATGCTAGGTAGTAATGGGCAGACGGCTGCCGGGCGCACCAGATTCACAGTCAGGATTACACAAAACCTCACATTGGCGTTCGTACTACTCCCTCCTACTACTACTGCTACGGCCCCTACCACTGCTACTACTGCAATGACGACGACGACGACCGCTACTACTACCACCTCTACTACCTGTACTCTTTGCACCCGTGCCTGAACCAGCTGCTCAGGCGCAATCTCCACTCGATCCGGCTGCTTGTCACTCCGGCGCCTCAAGGACGCATGTAAAGGCACGGGGCATGATGTCGTATCATGTCGTATTCTTACTTGCAAGTCAAGTCTTCAGTAGCTGAGGGACAAGGTCATTGAGCACCAGATACGCACCTGGCGGGCAATGCGCATGTGGCACACTTGGTTGCTCTGCTTCCCAGCCTCAGAGCCCTCGACGTTGCCCAGCAGCAGCCCCATGATCTCCTCGTTCTCACTCATCAGCGCATGAGCAAGGCACGCCTCGGCTCAAAGCAGACTGAAGGGGATGCGGCCGGGAGTTTAAATGGCAAATTCGGCTGAGAGTTACAAAAGGAGCCATCCCACTGCCCCAGATCAAACCTGAGCGGCATGATAAACTTGCTCTGAGAGGAGCAATCGCCCTGTCTCAGCCATGCCATGCTCCAAGCAGACACCGCATCGTCCCTAATCTTGTGCCAGTTATCGGGAAAGAGTCCTATATGTGGGGTTCTCAGTTGTTGGCGCAGCTGTGCCTCTGCGATGCTTGCCAATAGCTCGCGCTTGAGCCAATGCTGCACAGACCAAGGACTGCCACAGCCGCACAACCTACTTGCGCACACACCTGTGGTGGGGAGCAATACGGGAAAATCTGTGGACCTTGTCTCGGCTGGGGCAGCATGAAGGCGTGGAAGACCGCCTTCGCCTGCTGGTGGTACGACTTGGAACACGTGCAAGGTGCGCTTAATCCTCATCCTCCCTTGCAAGGATTCAAGGTGAACTTATCCTGTGCGTGCAGAACCTGCCCACCCCGCCACCCCGCAGGTAGCTTGAAGCCAACGGAAGCAACCTCTGGCTGTTGCTTTGTTCGAAATCCTTTATTTCGCGATGTCGGGCGTACCTTAACCTGATGGAAAGCCCCACCCACCTACCTGCTGCTGGCGATTGCTTTGGAGTCCAATTCGGACTTTGCGATTGTGTTGATGCAAACAGCCTTAAGAGAGGCAATGTGAACAACAAACCGTAGCCATTCTTTGGCACGGAAGCGCTGTCTTGCGGGCAACAGAGCTGGCGCTTCCGAAAACAACTTGGCCCAAAGATGTGCCAAAGTAAGAGATGCCACGGCTGTAACAACAAGAGGTTCAAGTAACACTAACTCCGCCACTGTACTTACAAGTACAAGTAGCTGCGATATGCTGCGATATTGCAAAACTACGTCATGCTTTGTAATCTTCGTATAGACCCTTGTGGGAGTCTTGCATTGTGCATACGAAATACACTCACCCAAAGCAGCGCTGGCAGCGCATTCCATAAATACAGCTTCTTGCGCGACGTCCGAGCACCATGCTTCAATAGAGGCGTCTTTTGCGTCGTGGCAGCCTATACGTTACTCAACTCAACTCGGGGGCAGACCTGCACCTTGACTTTGCAGGCGTTGCGGTGCTGCACCAATTATACCACCCAACTACGTATATACATGTACATACATATATATATATATACATGATCATCTTTAAACTTATATTGATACTGATACTTATGTACATACATAAACCAGTTCGAGTAAACGGCCGGTAAACATCAGCAAGCTACGCACCTGAGCAGAGCCGCAGCGCTCGAAGGAGCCGACAACAAAGAGCCAGCGGGGTGATCTGCGGTGTGCCATGGCCCTGCTGGGGCACCCGAGGTTGTGATCTTGAGGACTTAGCACTGAAGCTACGTGGTGCCCTAAAACCTCCTGGTCCCAGAAACACTTCTGGCTGGTTGAGGTGATTGTGGTGTAGCCTCTGAAGCAAACCATGACGTGGAGGCAGGCTGACATGGTTTCAGCAGCATGTCTGCTTCGAGGCACGCTTGCTCGCCGGCTGTTGATGATTGAGCGCACCAATAACCTTTAACTTTTGCGCTAGACTCCTCGACAATTCGTCCAGGCACTCCTGTGACACTGTTGGTCTCGGAATCATCCAACTCTGAGCCCTGCTCGAGACTCTGTGGGTATGGTCGGTTGTCATGAACCCCTTGAAACCGAAACTCTCATACAAAGGCATCCATCATGGGAACCTGAATTTCTAAACCAACCCGCTCAGAGCTGTGGGGGGCCCTTGAGAAGGTTCCTCGGAAGGCCTCATAAACGTGATTTCAAGAGGCCAAGCCGAAGGCTGGGCTCCTGAAATTCGACATCGCTTTCTGCAATACAGTCCTTCGGGCCAGCTTCCAGCCTTCCCGCAGGACTGCATTGCAAGACGGGATTCGGGGTTTTGAGATGAGGATGACTAGGATTCTAGGGCTTCAAGGCAGTTATCTTGTGTCGAGCATCAAACAAGTATCGTGTACCTTGTAGTTTTACTTTGGGGGGCTCGCAGTGTGCAGTGCGGAGACCCTCTGGCACACCTGGATGCATCTGGGCCCGCGAGCACCTTAAACACAGGAGCTTCTCGTCGACTAAATTGCCGGGAGACAAGCAGTGCCGCGCCGGAAACATGGCCAAGCGGCCAAGCATTTTTAGGTTCGGTTCTGTGCAACTAAAGCTTCATGGCAGCTGACCTGCCGGGAAAGGTGTGAAAGTAGACTCCGCAAAAGCCTGTGATCAGAAGCTTTCCATCACCTCAGAAGGGCATAAAGATGGCCAAGGAGCACGGGGTCGGTGAAAACTTGACTGAAGAACAAGTAAGACTGCCGAGGTCATGTCCCGCTCTGCTCTGCCCACTGCTAGTCTCGCCCGCGCGAAGGGTCTGGCGCCATGAATGCCTGGACAGTGTTGGGCAGTTCTTGCAGGATTTGGCAAAACAACAGGGCCTCCAGTTGTTGGTTCAGGTCGTCGACATCCGGCACCACTCGCCTGGGGCTCGCACCGCCGCGAGCCTGATCTCACAGCAACATGCAACTGAGGCTCTGCACTAGGCTGTCTAGGAGCAAGATGAAGTTTCTGCAAGTCCCGTCAACCTATTGTATAGCAAAACAATGCCGGTTTTTCGGACTTGGCAAACCTCTGCTTCTTAAATTCCCTGGTATATGAGACATGGGACATGTTCTCCGACCCACAACCGAGCCTTTCGCCCACGTCCGCCACGGGGCCTCGCTTCAAGATCTAGGTCGATCGAGACCACGGTTCAACTTCGAGCAAGAGGTTGGCCATAGTCGCCATAGTTGAATGCGCAAAGACAGGTCATGAAGACCGAGGGTGCTGAAAGCACACTACACATGTCATACATTTGTTGGCGGAGTTCCTTGCAGCATGCCTGTGGCAAGTTCTGGGTCATAAGTACATCCATGATCGGCCCGTTGGTTCGCTAGTTGCTGGTCTGGCCGTTGGCCCCATCAGAAGAAACACTGGCTCTTGCCACAAAGCTGCACAACAGTACTTGTAAAGGCCAGGTGAATTCTCGGAGTGCAGGTGTATTTTGTGCCATTTTGTGCCAATGGGTAAGCCGAGTTCGGTGTTGAGTTCGCGGGCTTGGCTGGAACTTCAAGAGGGGACTCCTGTTCCACCGGAGTAAACCCGCAGCCCGTTCGCGGCTACACGCAGCTCTTCGCGCAAGTGAGGCCATGGGGCCCAGCCGCAGTGACAAGCCGTCACCCCTAAACCCTAAAGCCTAAACCCACTGCCCAGGCCTGCGGGGAGGTGTCGAAGATTCCCTAAAGGACGCCTGCAGGTTTGAAGCTTCTGGCGATCTTTCTGGCGATGCGATGCAATCCCATATTAGCTGCTGAGCCATGAACATTCGCAGCTATTACGATTGTCCCAGCGCATGTGAAACCTGCCTTGTAGCTCGTATAGCTCGTATCCCAGTCCGCCTCCAGCCAGACAGCTTTTCCAAGAATGCGGAAGTCTGGCTAGGGCGCTGCCTAGCCACTTACCACCGAAAAACACACCATCCCCCCACCCCCCCCCCCCTCCCCCACCCCCTCCAAACAAGAGAGAAGTTGACCCTCAATTTTTTGAAGGGGCCGGGACATGATGCGGAAAGGGCATGCCCCGTGACAACTCATACGTCTCCCCCCGGCCCCCCCCCCCCCCCCCCACACCCCAGAGCGCACACAAACCAAAACTAAGAAACAGCATGTCCAACTCATGCTCCCAGATTCTGCATCCGACTTCTTACTTACAGTAGCACTACAGGATGGGGAACTTAGACGAAGACACGGGATACCCACAGGCCGAGAGGAAGTTCGACGAAGGCTGGGGGGCGGGACGAACGGTTCGACGAAGGCCAGGGTCTCGACGAAGGTGGGGGGGGGGGGGTTCGACGGCCTTTGCCGGAGGCTGTGCGCCACCCGCCCTCACGCGCCGTCCATGATCAATTTGCCGCTGAATTTCGACGTTCCAACATTCCTGAGCGCCCCCTGTGATCCCAAGAGCCCGCGACAAGTCCTCACCATTCCGGCTCATGGGTTCACTGTCACTGTCCAGGCACACCCAGCAGCCGCGCTCCCGAAATCAGCAGTGCACGACCCGACAACCAAGATCAGAATTCTCAGTCGCTGGAGCAAGTTTGCATTGGAAGAACGTGTTTAGAACCAACTCCCAGCAATGATGACCAATGCATGCCCAACCATGGACAGCTACCTTGAGCACGGTGGAACAGCCAGCATACATTTTCTGTGTTTGCGCTGACACGCATAGGGGCTACAGACCTGCCGGACCGGCATACAAAACTTTGTAGTATCTTGACAAACTTTAAAATCATGATAAATTTTACCATTAAGGCTTCTAGCTTGTCTCAAGGAATTCAACAGTATTGCTCGCGTCCTGCGGCATTTGACGATACTGCTTGCGCGTTCTTCCTCGGATGCAGGTGGTCGTTGTGGATTAGGTCTTTGGTGCTCCTTGCCGTCCTTACCTTGACTCGTCTCAATCCTAACTGCTAAATTAGCCAGTTCTTCCTGTAACAGCTTCTTGACCTCAATCTTCAGGTTCTTCATTGTTGTTTTTTCCACAACTTCCTGGCTCTCACTCACGTCTACAGCCTTAGACTTTCTTGGCGGGCTTGACGTTGCTTGAGTTCATTTGTGTTATCTTTCTGCCTTCTGAGATCCTCTACTATAGCTGTGAGAGAAAACTGGTTGGAAAACATTGATTGGATACAGCTGCTTTCGCCTCTTGCGACAGAAACCAAGACCTATGTCATGTATGCATTCTTCTGGTGTGCATTGCTCTTGTGATTCAGCTCCTTTGTATCATCCCCACGATTTTCCATCCTCGCGTCGCAGTCTTCTGGCATTGGCTTTCTAAGAGTCCCCGACCTGTGTCACAAACGGCAACGCTTCCGGTTTGGCTCGGAGAAAATGTCGTAGCATCTGGTAATGTTCCTCTTCCCACCCTGTAATGGCTCCGAGTCTCAACAATCAGATCCTTTGTTCGTTGTCTTCTGCCTTGGGGTAAGAGCTGCAAGGCAGTTACGTCGAGGTCTCCTTCCTTCTGTTCGTTTTCGGCAATTTTCTGCACAGCAGGTTATTTGTTTTTCCAAACGAAACGATTCGTGAAACACTCGTTTGACTGCGCTTCATTGAAAATTCATGTGGGGAGGGGGGGGAGGGGGGGGGGGAGGGACATGACTTGTCCAAATATTAGGGAGACCGTGTGACTACGGAGCCGTGAGAACCATTCTGGGGGCGCGACTCCATCTTTCCAGTATCCACCTCTTGAGGTTTCAGTGCTTGTAGGCTGTAGGGATTTTAAGGTTAGGCTTGTTAAGGGGTTTAAGGCTTGTTAAGGGTCTTCAGGTCTGTTGAATTTTAAGGGTGTCTTGGGGTTTACAAGCACGGAGCAGTCAGGCTTACAACTGGAAGGCCCCTAGCCTCCGCCTCCTCCCCCACGGGCATTGCTTATTATTCTGGAATCCTCCGCAACAGGCGTGGGCATCAAACGCAACAGCGTGTCAAGGTGAGTCAATCAAGGTATAGAGGTGACCTGACTTCTGTCGAAAGCTGCCGCTAGCACCTGGGACACAACCATGGACACAACGCCTGCACGCATCCAAGACCAGCGCATTCCCAAATCTTCCAAATCTTACTTCGAGGACCGCACTTCTGCCAGCGGCTCGGAGAGACTGGCATCCGTATCCTCAGAACAAAAATCACAAGCAACCACGATGCTCTGCAGCCGCAGCACAAGGCAAATCAAGCACACAATCAGCGCCACATCAGCCCAAGTCCATCTAGGATGCTGCTCTCGCACAGCTCAGCTATGGGCCCGGATATCTCTCTCCAGGGCGTTGGCAGCTTTCTGCGCATCACAGGTGTACAATCTAGCTCTCAAAGGACCCGAAAACTGCTGCGCAAAGGGTAGGCCTACTGCTTATGAGTGTGTCGCAACTGAAGTGCTGCAGTGTCAGCCGTCAAGCGGAATTGTGTTTGGGCTGGATGCCAGAAGCTTAAGCTGCCATTGCACCGATCTCTGTAGTCTACACATGTCTCAAGTTCAGTCTGACAGCACATGGGTTCTATTCGCACCTCTGCTTGTCCGTACCCAAGAAGGATGGCTTGGATCACCCCGCAGCATCAAGTACTCACGTTACAAGGGGCCGCAGACATGACTTGAGCACGTCCGCACCGTGTCCAGCAAAGCGAGCATGATGCACAGCGCGAACATCACCTCCACCAAAGGCGGCTAAGTCGGAGCCTACTCCACCGGTTGAGGTAACCCACATGGTCTAATTCTGCTGCCGTGGCTCCGAACGTTTGCCATTGGTTCCCACCTTTGCAACACGGCGAGCTCACCGACATCACTACTTGTTTCCCTCAGGTCGAGACGGCCAGCCTCAAATCAGTTATGGCTGTCCTTTTTGCTACCAATAAGAGCCCCTACTTCAGGACACGGCACCTGGTATCTGGGGAACCCAACAAATGGCAAACAACCCCCATGATGTCAGACCGCTTCAAGTCTGACCGCACATTTGCATGCCAATCCTCTGGGCGACTAGTCGCAAGGGCCGCAAGCACCCTGTGATTCGAGAAGCTGTTGCTAGAAAGTCAGCGGAGAAGCCCTGAGAACCGCACTGCCATGATGTCAGGCCGGTCTTTCCTTGGGCGAATCTTTACGAAACAAGTGAGCAAAATATGTACAGTCTCCTCAACTCTCCTATTGACTCAGGCAAGCGAAACAGTTGGGCCATAATGCGGAGCAAGTCTCAACCGGCAAATGCTGATCTCATCACGAGATATGCGGAGGTCACGTACGCAAATGGACGTCACCTCCTTGTCCTGGGCAAGTTGCCCAAGCAGCAGCGCACAAAAACTCAACTCACGGTCGCACATGCGTTCGCATCCAAAGTCACGCAGAATGCAGAAAAGTCATTCTATATCATATTTCTCCTCCTTCTCCCTTCTTCTTGCTCTTCTTTGCCTTCTTCTCAGCACGTCTGGGCATTCGGTTGCCCGTTCACGCCACGCATCTGCGCACTCGTATACCGGGGTACATGATTAGATCACAGAACGCGGATTGAAACGAGAGTCCTCCTCCCTTTCTCGGATCCACCTTCCCTTTCAACCGCCCGTGACAAGTTTACGTGAGACCTTATGCAGACCTTCTGTGGACTCCACTGCCTGCTCTCCACCGGAACCCCAAGCATCAAACCTCCGGTACACTCTTTCTTTTTCTTTTGATCTTCTTCTTCTGCTGCACGGCATGGAGGCAGGGTTGCCCCTTCCCTCTCTTTCTCTTGCTCTTTCTCGTTCTCGTTCTCGTTCGCTTTCCTTTTCACCCACGGGGTTCCCCACACGACTTGAGCCACATTGGCACCCTCTTCTCTCTCATCCTCTTTTTGTGTTCCACTTCTTCTACACGCACTCTCCCTCCCTCTCTCGCCTTTACAGGTCAACACACACACACACAACCCTAAGCTACAAAGCGAAACCCTTGTTTGCCTTGCAGTACTCATAGAGCCCATCGGCTTTACCACAGCTGCCTGTGGCTGCCTGACAAAACACGATGTGACTGAGGCATCGTCACTTGAAGGACTGTTTATGGTTGATCTACAAGGACAATGAAGTTATTGTAGTGTAGAATGTTTCAGGTCTCGTGTTGTCAGGGGGCTCTTCGGGCTTAGGGAGAAGATGTGCTCTTCGGGTTTAGTGAGAAGATGTAGCTTGGGCTTGCTGTCACGGCATTGGGTTCCTAACGCTGCTGCTCTTTCGCACAAGGCGAGGACCCACCACCGTACAATCATACACCAACGCCCCCTACTGGTTCGCAGCAGGGAACTATAAGTAAGTATCTTGCGTGCCCAGCTCAAGGTTCCCTGGCATTTCCGACGCCAACCACCCGCCTGTAGAAGCCACGAAGCGTTGCCATGAAAGATCGAGTGCGCCGCCAGCTCCACAACTGGCATGCAGGGCAGGAGGTCACATGCGAACGCAACTGGCACAATAAAGAAGTGCCAAAGAACCTGATGGAGTATGATATAGTCATAGATAGTGACTTTGACAAAAGTGCATACATAGATATATATATATATATATATGCATATATATGTATGTATGTATATATAGGTGTATATATATATATATAGATGTACATGTACATATAGAAATAGAAGCTCAAGACATCAGCTCTTCAGTGTCATTGATGATGGGATGTGGGAGTCAAGTCCTCTGATGACTGACCTGCATGCAGCTTGCCTGGAACATTGTCGCGCACAATATTCATCTTGATGCCGTGGCCTCGCAAATGGCCAACACTGTTCTGTTTGCAGCTGTAATACGTGCAGCTCTCTCTGTATTGCAGGTCGCCGTCAGCAAACTCCCGAATTGCTGTCATGAACGGGGACAGCGACTCAGACAACATGTCAGAGAGCGTCGCCTTCATAGACGCCACCTGTCATGCCGCTGGAGAAGGGTGCATGTTCTGAATGACATACTACTCCTGTCACGGATCTACTCTCCAACATGCTGCTGCATGCCGCACGCAGCGCACCTGGCTTGGCCGGCTTGCTCCAGTTGTAGGAGTCGCCACGACGGCCACTGTAGTCCCAACCGTTGCTGCCCCAGTCCTGCCAGCCCCAATCGGACCAGTCCTTCCAGTCCTGCGACGATTTCAGAGCCAGATGGTGCTAGGCGTCTGCAGTTCTCAATGATCTATATAGCATTCTATAGAAGAGGAACAACGGAACTACAGTGCTCGAGAGTCCGCAATGCAGCTCTTCTCTTCTGAGGGTGGTTCCTCTGTTACTCCCCGCATCCCAACTGGGTACCGACTACTTCCAGGCCTGGCCATATTTCCAGCTGCTGCTGTCCTAGCAGAGTCGATGCGTGGGGGCTGTGCTTGCTCTTCCTACACTGCGGCTACAGGTTGCTGCACAGCGTTCCCTGCATCTCGCTGCCTCCTCCCCGCCCCCCCACCCCCCCCGCTGCGTGCCTTATCGCCGTCGGCGTCCGGCACTACCTGTCTCTGTCTCTGTCTTGACTGTGACCTCGAATCTGCCTCCGCAAACTGTGGCTCAACATGCCAGCAGAAGCAAGAAACATCCAGCAAAGCTGTGCTTTCTGCCATCGGCTGAATGTGGGGTTGCGAGCATCTTTCAACCAGGCATCAGGGCCTGACTGTCAGGGGCAGCGCGTACCCTCCTCACATCACAACAAGGTGTCAGTCCCTAGGTGCTTCAGATTTACACGCTCATTGGATAAGGGTTCAAGGTACCCTCATCCCGAACAAGTCCTACATGAGGGCTGAGCTCCACTGCGCTGCATGCAGCCTGTGACATTCATATGCTCGACCCCGAACCCTCCCTAAATGCCTTGCGCAACTGCTCAGGCGAACTTTCTTCTAAGCCCACAGTCATCATGGGTCCATAGGGTGTCGGGTGGCCCTCCAGGGGATAGCATTGGTAAACATTCGTCCGCGTGTCCGCGCGTCCGCGCACGTTCCTTTGTGCCAAACCTTTGCAGCTATATAGTGTTCATGAGCGGAGGCGTTAGGGCAAGTGACGACAAGGTAGGTACCCGCAATTCCGTGGATTCAGGGTCTTTTTTGTTGGTGGTTCGTGGTTCCAATGTCCTCTGTCCAATCGTTCAGGGTTCGGGGAAACCGAGGCCTTTAACGGTCTGAGGAGCCCCACCCTACCCCACCACTTGTTGTCATGCATTCATCAGACCCTGAATCCCTGGAGTGTCCTTCGACTGGGAGACGACGCTTCAGTATACCCCTGCGGCGAACAGATGTGAGGGTGACTTGGAGGTTTAGGGTTGAGGAGCCGCAGGACTTTGCAAGCGGAGACTTGTAGGGTTTGAGGCTTGAAGGTGGGCGAAGGACAAGGATCTTAGTCCTGCATCCGGGGTCAAACTGTGGAAATAAGTGCTCTTTCAGATAGGTGTCACGAGTACTTTTGAAAACTTAGAACCTTTGAGAGTTTGAAACGATAAAACACCATTGAGACTTTGGAGTGTGAAAGCTTCGAATTTTGAAGAATGAAAACGACGAACGACACGGAATTGGAAAGCTTGAAAGCTTGAAAGAGCTTGAGCTCGAAAGTGGGAAACGAGATCGAGTTTGAAGGTTTGAAGCATAATCCCTGAACACAAGGCAAAAACGGCAGGACCGGAGCGAGTTTGCCTTTGGAATTTGAGAGTTTCAGAGCTTGAGACTTTCAAAGTATGAGAGATTGAGAGTCAAGCGTCCAGAAGGTTCGGCATTTGAAAGTTTGAAAACCATGCGAGTTTGAAAGCTCGAAGTCTGAAACTCTGAAGCTTGACGACACTCGAGCACGAAAAGTTTCATGCTTTGATAGTCTGCGCGCATGATGTTTCAAACTTTTAATAACCTCTCAAACTTTTGAACTCTAAACGGAAACTCTCAAATTCGTAGCTGTCAAACCTTCAAACTCGTCTTGTTTCAAACTCTCGAACTCGCGCGAACGGCCCGTAAACGAGTCAAACTCGAACGGGCTTCGAACTTCAAACTCTCAAACTCCAGATCTTTCTACTGTTCAAACTCGCAGCATCGTGGCCTCCCTAAGCTACGCATAACCTCAAGTTCTAAACTCGAAACTATCAAACTGTCAAACTTTCGAGTTCGAGATGCTTCAAACTCTCGAGCTCTCAATCTCGAAACTCCGTCGAACTCCAATCTTTCTAAATTTGAACTTTTTTCAAAGTCGGGATCGCGAAAGTTTGGAGATTGAGTTTGCAAGGAGGCATATCAACCCATTTTTTTGAACGAACGAATGAAGGCTGAGCGGCTCGACACACTGCATTACTGAAAGAGGCTTCCCTGCACGTAGTTTCTAATTTGTTTCAAAGTGCAAACTCGACATGTCGACATGTTCCAACTTTCAAACTTTCCCAACCCTAAAGTTCGAGCTCGAACGTCTTCGAAGCACGTGGCTCGTGACACCCTTTCATGCTCTTTCAACAGCTGCAGAAGAGGAGTCCCCTGCGGCCGGCCTCATAGGCTTTCCGCTTGCCAGCCTGCTGTTATGGCACACTTAAGTCCATCCACCCAAGTTGCACGGTCCAAAGGTTAGAGACCCTCTCCCTCGGTGTACCTGATATTGGCCAGCCCAATCGTAGTCGTCGATGGGTCCATCGCCTCCGACGAGCTGCGGAATCACAAAGTGGCCCTCGGAGCATTCGCCACTGATACGCAAACTCCTTGAAAGGAAAAAAATGAGCAAACATGGATGTCGCCTGCAAGTACCTCCCCAAGTCCTCCTACCCTCACATATTGTTTCCCAGAAACTCAGAACACACAGAAGCGGAGTGCTACGTACATGAGCACAAGGCCCACACCTTGGCTCTCGCCACGCGCATTCCGGAAGATGGCCTCATCCTCAAGGCGAGGCTCAGGGGACTTCCTGGTAGTGGGTTCAATTCATGGGTTAGGGTTTAGGGTTTAGGGTTTAGGATTTAGGGTTTAGGGTTTAGGTTTTAGGGTTTAAGGTTTAGGGTTTTAGGGTTTAGGTTAGGGCTAATAAGTTAAGTGAGTTAAGGGGTCAGGCCAGGGTCAATCGCAGCCCGTGGGGTCCTTTTCCACGGGCGAAACTTCCCTTCTGTTACCGTCGACTGGGCTGGAAGAATGGATTGCGCTACCAATGCAAGTCCACAATGGGGCGTGCCTCACATCTCTCAAAGGCTCCTTGAAGGACCTTGCCATGACCAGGTCATTTCTGAAACAAGAAGGAATTGACATATTCGCACAGGAAGCGAAATTTGTCGACGAAGGCCTAGGGCCTAGGGCCATTGTGCCTCTGTGCCTGTGCAACTCATCCTTGCATTGTCGTAGCCGGATATATCTAGATCTACTACACTGCACTCAAAGTGCATCGGTGCATCGCCAGAAAGACCACAATTTCCGACATCAACACTGCGAGCATCCGAAGGCCAAGCCCGTTGATGAGTTCCACACATCAGCCAGGGGCTCGGAGAGGCTCTCATCCGTATCCTCCGAGAGAGAAAGCACACAGCGGAGTCGACGGCAGATGTGAGGCTATCCTGAGCCCCGGGCTCTGATGTCGCGCTCAAGGTTGTCCGCCGCTTGCTGAGCAGGGCCAACACATCAAATAGGGGCTGGCTCCGAATCCGAAGACACTTTGAAGACGTGGCAAAGGCAAGTTGCAATCAAGCGTTAGTTCTGCAAGAACCGTCCCACCACAGTCAGTCTTTGACAGCATCTTCCGCAAACGAAGAGCCCTGTCGCACCTTATCTCGTAAGGCGAGCAAGATCGACAAAGCCATCATTACCTGCCCGTGGCAAACGCGGCAAGATCTGGCGAAAGGAGAATGGCAAAGTCTTGGCTCACTGGATCTTAGACGCAGGCTCTCTATCAAGTTACATGCATATAGCCATTTCACGGCTGCGATATCTGCCAAGGCTAAATCCCAATACCTCGCGTATTGTTGATGACAGTTGAGTTTTAGTGAGTCTTAGTGCTAGCGGACGTCCACTGACTATTTCGCGTGAGCTCGGGGTTCGTACCAGGGTATTTGCTGCGACGTAGAAGTACACCCTAGTGTTACTGGAAACTTCAGCAAGGGCAACATGAGACCCGTCAACCGCATCGTTGCAGCAAAGGCTCTGAGCGTTTGCCGTTGGTGCCCACCTTGCCGACACCAAACCCCACCAGGGCCCGCAAAAAAAAAAAAAAAAATCTAAGTGCACTAAAACGCACTGAATCTCCTGACAACCTCCTGACTCCTGACTGTCCGTGCAACTCTGGGCCGCCAACAACGACAAAGTCGTGTCGACTCTTCCTGGGCGCAGCCGGAAAGGGCACGAATCTGGGGGAATTTTGGCGAGACAACTCATGGCAGTTGTAGGACATCATCGTGTTCATCCCTACTCCCGAATTCCAGAAAATCTAGCCCCGGATCCGGAGCGGGGGGGGGGGAAGGTCCTGAGGGGGGTGAATAGAGGGAGGAAGGGACTTTTTCAATTGCAGTCGTTGAAGGAAGCAGTCCACGAGTTCCTGTGATCACTGGCGAGTCATCCGTGCAACAGCATAGATTTCAGGAGAGCTGCAGAAGCTAGAAACAAAGTGAATCTGGCCTTATGGGGGGGGGGGGGGAGCCTCTAAGGGGATTCCATTCTATTTGGGGTACAAAATGGGTACCCCTATTTTTGGGAAATGCCCATACTAAAAGCATCCAAAAACTCGCAAGTGACTCAGACTTCAAGCCCACCTTTTTGCGGAGGCAAGATTCAATCGGCAAATGCTCATCTCATCCTTGGATAGGTGGAGCTCTTTGAAACACGCAGCTGCCACCTCTCTGTCCTGCAATGCCAGAAGAAGGCGACTGAAACGACCTCTTGAAGTTCCACCGGTCATCTTGAGTCAATGTGCTGTCTCAATTGGACATTGAATCCTTCTGACTGCTTCTGGAAAATTCTGCTGATGCAGCTGCACTGGCCAACTCTCCTGATAGTACTCGTAGAGCCCGTCGGCTTTCCCGGTACTGCCGGCAGCTGCCTGTCCGAAGAGGAAGGCTTAGGAAGAGAGCTTAGCCGGTCTGATTCTTCTTGTTGTTCCGCGGCTGTGGTCTTGCACTATGGAGGCACTACGGACTTTATACAGTTCAATTCGAAACTTCAGGGCCCAGCAGCGCCATTTCGCTATCTGATGTGTGAAATTTTGCTTCCCGAAAAATAAGGTAGGCAAGGGGATCAGGGGCATTCAGGGGGGCTGCCCAAAGACATTTTGGGGGGCCCTGTGAGCCTGAAGGAGCCAGGACGCGTTCGGATGGAAGATGGAGTCGGTCGCCATCTCCACGACTGGCAGTTGGTGTAGGCAGCGGGGGCTTTCGGTTTGGTAGGGCTGGTGGCTTTAAGAGCTTCGTAACTTAGGCTTAGGGCTCCAGGGCTTTGGGGGTAACGGTTGCTTCCCTTGTAGTGTGCTCACTCTCTTTCTCTCTTGGTCTTCTCGTCCTGCTCGCTTCAATGCCCCTTAGATGGAACCATCTCTCTCTCTCTCTCTCCTTCTCTCTCTCCGTCTTTCTTTCTTTCTTGGGGGATAGGGGGGGTGACCCCCTGCGCACTCGGCGCGCCCCCACGTTGTTGTGGCGGCTGGTGAAAAAGCGCCCACTGCGCCCAGCATCCCTTCAGGTTCATCCCCAGAGCGAGTGCCAGCCCATCGAACCACCGTCTCTTCCTCTTTCTTTTCAATTTCTGCGTCTTCAGGGGCAACTGTGTATCGGTAACATGACTGCCTCCCACGGATTTGGGCCGAGAACATGCAGCGCCCCATGGTCGCGTCCAGGTCAACCAGTTTTTTCTTTCGTTCGTTCGTTTCGTTGTGTTTTGTTTCTTCCTTGTTCTTTGCTCGGGGCCAGAAGCTCTTCTTCTGCTGCTGGGCATGAAGCTTCCTTCCTTCCAGCACGCATGGCCCCAGCGGGCCGCCCCAAGAGGCGCATCCACCGAGTCAGTCGGTGTCAAACAGTTACATGAAGCTTCTTGTTTTCCTCGCTCGAATTGTTTCTTTCTTTCTTTCTTTCTTTCGAGGGGCTTGGGCGGCGGACCCCTCTCACTCTCACTACTCTCAAAACTCTCACTACTCTCAGTACTCTCACTACTCTCATTACTCTCTCTTCTTCTTCTGCTCAGCGAAGAGGCCCCCCGAGGAGGACCCCGGCCACGGTGGCCCATTACTCTCTCTCTCTCTCTCTCTCTCTCTCTCTCTCTCTCTCTCTCTCTCTCTCTCTCTGTCTCGCTATCTCTCTACTGCACCTGCATGCACACACGCGGCACATAGGCTGCCTTGTGTACGAAGACAACCAAGAACCCATAACACCCTGTGTAAACTCCGAGGGCTCCAACCTGGCACGGCATTTAGAACAATGTTCAGCTTGATGCCGAATCCTCAAGTGACAAGCAATATAAGCCAAGCAGGGAAAACAAGGGAGGACAAAGAAGCTGACAGGTGCACGCGTGACTGAGCTTGTGACGATGGTATGGCTCCTTCAGCCTTCCTGAAGCACACCGGTCTATCCTAAAACTCCACGGGAACACAACTCAGTGCAAAGCCCTTGCACTGGGGAAATGGCGACCCCCGCGACGATCCATCTGAAACTCCTGTGACAGCCCCTCGCAACTGCAATGGACTTCACAGCTCTCACAGATCGCACTACTCTCACAGCCCTGCAGAACGGAGAAGACTGAATGATAACTGAAAGAGTAGATTGGCTAGTTCGTCCGCACAGACCGCTAGCAAGATGAACTCTGCAGCCTCTTCAGAAGTTCAAGCTAACCTCGAGGTTGGCTGCTGGAAAGGATGCAAGAGGTGTCCTGAGCTGAGCGGTACCGGCCGCAGTGAGAGCTCCGGAGCCAGGGAGCCCTTTTAGCCCCAAAGATCGCCCCCTCTATTGAGCCGATAGCACCAAAAAATGCTCAAGAGTCAAGAGCAACCAACTCGGAAGCTCTACCCGCCTGCCTAGGACTAGGAATGCTACTCCTTCCTTCCTTCCTTGCTTCCTTCCTGCTTTCCTTTGCAGTATAGAAAAAATGAGTGTTCCTACTGAAATGTAAAGAAGACTAGATCTTTTCTCAATGGAAACTAGAGAAATAAATGTTTTCCAATTACAAGAAAAGAGAAATCAAAGGTTTTTGAGATTGAAATATCAAGAAATAGAGGTTCTCTTCAAACGCACAGAAAAGAAAGATTTTCCCAATTAAAAAATGGAGAATTCAAAGGTTTTTCATCTTCAAATTTAGACAGCAGAAAAGGTTTTCTTACCTACATAAAAAGATTAGCGGCTTTCCTATTAAAATAGGACAAGATCCAAACCCTAAAAAAAGTCCCCACCCAAAACAATCCTCTCCATGGAAAAGTAATCGAGAAGTGTACGGCCAGAGTTTTCTTCGTGAGTCGATGTATATACTTCTACACACACACACAGAGACACCTCACCGTTCGCCCGCTGAGGCTGCTGTGGATGCAACAGCATTGAGGTTATGGCAAGGTTCTACTGAGTCTGCTGGACTCCGGACTGGCAGTGCACATCGAACATGGTGTCGAACGTCAAGATTCCATCGAACGCATTTTTACAATCCATGCAGCAGTTGCTCACATCCTCGGAGCCGCATGCGCTTCCTCACGAGACAACGTCGGGCATCGGTCACATCGTGGCAGGCCTTGCCTGAGCACAGTACAGCTGCAGAATGGCATTTGCGGCACATCTGGTGCCCAAATTGGCTCTATTGGACGTTAAGGGTTGAGGCCTTTGCTGACACCAGACCTGCGTGGAAACGCACTGTTGGGAAATTGCGTCTGTCCGCGCGTTTAAGGACTGGCAACAGTAACAGCCCCAAAGGTGCGACCGAGCCTACGACAAAAGACTGCGTTGCTGTCGGATGAACCTAAAAACTACAGCCTTAATGCCAAAAAAAGAGCTGAGAGCCCTAAGGCAAAAGCAGACAAAAACCCTAAATCCTTGCAGTAGCTTCATCCTCATGAGCCGGTACCCCCCCCCACATCCCCAATGGGCTGAAACCTGGGAGGTCGGAAGCTCGTAAAGAAACGAGCAACGCAACTTGCACCACAAGAAGTAGAACAGAGCTTGCTTGACAAGAGGCGCTGCTGCCTCTTCAGCTTTATCGCCAACCTCCTGGTTGTGAAACGTTCAACCGTCCGACATTTTGCCAACGTTACATTCCAAAACTACTCCAAAACAAAGCCAAACCTGCGAATCCTAAATCTCGACCATAGCTCCCGGACCCACCGCCTGCTCATGCTAGCTCAACCCTCCTGCCCACCCACACTTGATTCAGGGGATACAGAAATGCCCACTGCCCACTGCCCACTTGGAGGGGGGCACACCAATCAGAGGATCTAACATCCAGAGCTTTGTTTCTGTTCTCTCTTCAGGATGTGCCTAGGGATGGGTGGAGCATCAGGTCCAGGCACCTTGTCCAGCCCCTACACCGGGATCCACTCAGATACGGGCTCCGGCTGCACGTACGCAAACTCCTGCACAATGCTTGGTCAGTTGAGCCCTACACCCGCAACGAAACCCCGTGCTCTCATTGCCCACACGCCTCGACATAGGGCGACTTCGGATCAGAATCACAGCTTTCCTGGCAGGGCTGACTTGGCAGATCAGTCCGAGGCCAAGATCAGAAGCAGGCTGCGAAACACCAGAAGGCTGGAGTCCAGGAACAGGAAACCTTGAAGGCCTGAAGCTGAAACTTATAGCTCCAGCGGCTCCTTGCAGGAGTAAATGCACAAAGTGCCAAAGTCGAGGCGATTCTGCAGCGGAGAGCCTCCCGATAGCAGGGAGACCAGGTAGACTCAGCTAGTAACTCCGAGATCAGAGGTGTCGGTGTCGAGCTCTACGTCTATCAAGCTATGATTGGCTGAGGTCGAGGGCCTGGGGTGACTCAGGGCGGCAAGCCATGTTACACTACACGGCGCTGAACAACAGCTAGCCTGCTTGCAGAGGCATGAGAGAAGACGATACGAACACCACAATTCTGCACAGCAAATCTCCAGAAAGCACTAACTACTGCAACGCCACTGGGCCTGTCAGCAGGGAAATGATCATGGGCTGAACCTGTTCAAGCGTGCCCTGCAATTACAATATGCTTAGGCGGGAAACTTTGATGTGAAGCTTGTGCCAAACTACTAGGTTTGAAACGTTGAGAGTCGGTTGTGTTGAAACACGGTCGCCGCAGAGCATACTTGTATCTATCCAGCACCTTCCTTGCATCTTACAGCCGCATCTTGTTAATCCTCTGTGTCGTAGACACATTGCACTGAGGTACGGGTGATACAAACATGCAGTCCAACACAAGGAGTCATCACCATCTCCCATGTAATGATCACACGCTGAACAGAGGTTGCATCGGCGGCGCGCTCCGAACAACAGCCTCCCTTCGCAGCCCAACTCAGTGCTTCTGTGGTGTCCGAAAAGACAGCGAGCAGCGAGCCACAATCACCGTAAGGCGCCTGGCACTCGAAAACGCGTGGACCTCCACAGCGGCAAAGCGGAATGTCTCCCTCCAGCTGCCGATGTCTGCAGAACCTGGGAGCACGCTGGCATGTTGCCCGAGCCTTTGCCGAAAGCCCGCCGAGCAACATTGCGGCAAAGGTCTGAACACGAATCTGCTTAGGGCGCGTGCCACCTCGGCTCACCTTGCAGATGATAGCGAAGGACCTTTTCCGAAAAGGAATGAAAAGGGTCTCGCAACACGGCAAATCAGATGGCACCGCACAACGTCCGATTATCCACAGAGCAACTGTTCACCCCGTCAGCGCCGCACCTCTTGGAGGGAACTTCAATTCAACATAATTTGCCTCTAATGTGTTTTTAGGGTTTAGGGTTTTAAGTTTAGGGTTTAGGCACGAATCATCCACAGGGGTGCTGAGCTTGCTGCATGGCTCTTGTTCTCTGCGTGGAAGCGTTGAAACCGGGCAAAGACTGGATCCTGCAAAGATTTACTTTAGCTCATCTCAGCGGGATTACCACTTCCTTCTACACAAGAACCCCGCTCCCCCCGCCCCCCCTTCAAGGGGGCTGCCCCTGGCAAGCTTGAGTTTGGATCCCCTAGAAGGGCAAATTGCCATTGGATGGCTCGAGTCCCGCAACTATGCTGTGGCCCACACCATTCTTTTCTTCAAGAGTAGGAACTGACCCGGAATTGCGGGAACAGGAACCTCTTCGAGTGAACTTCCTGGACCCGAAGGTTGCTTGTAGCGGCGTTCACGATTGCGCTGTGGAGAATGGAGAGCAATAGGGGAAAGGGAGACAGAGAGCGGGAGCTTCGTAGAGCTAGAGAGGGAAAGCAGAGGAAGCAGAGTCCGTCATGCGCAATGTCCTTGACGGAGTGCTCCTCCACCCACTCGGATGCGAAATTGGCACCTTCAGACATTTGGAAAATCTCAGCATTCACGCCACTATAGGGCGACTGCTTCCAAGCGCCTCCACTGCTCAGACGAGGGAAGCATCAAGTGCGCAAGATGCACAAAAGACCGCTGGCCATCTCCGCGGCTCAGCCGCAGTGCCGACAAAAGCAAAAAACTACTACCAAGCAGTATGAACTCTCATCATAAGAGCCTAACCATGAAGCACCTAAGAACCCTTTCAACATCCACATGACCAGAACGGGGAAAAGCCAGGCTCCGAGCCAAACTTGTCCAATGCAGCTGCGGGGTCTTGTCGAACCATCTCTTGATACCTGCAGAATGCAGTCACTCAGAAGCTGTGGAGGATTAGCATTCGGGTTCAGCTCGCAGCCTTAAAAGCCAAGCCAACATTTAATTTGGAGATCTCGAAAGATCTGGTTTGGGGGACATGTTACACAGCGTCGGACTTGTCGACCTGCGCTTTGGCGGGCGTTAGCGTGGTGATTGAAGGAATTCAAAGTTCACGTCTGGGGGAACCAGGGCGCGGTCGCGAAGCTGCCGGGGTTGGCTTCTAGGTGCACCGCACTTCATGCGTCACACAAGTTTCGATTCTGCAGCCGCATTGCGGGCAGTTCTCTGGACCAGTCATCCACATGATGGTTGTGTGTTGGGTACCCGCCTTTCATACCCCCTAAAATTATTTGGGGTAACCCGCAGGGACACTGTTTGGAGCCATGTCTAGTTGTGGTAGATGATGCTAATACCTGTACTTTTGTATTTGGACGAAAATGTTCACACATGATGCCCCTGTGACCCCTGTGACGTATGAAGTTGTTCCCTTCTTCTGGTGGCTGTGCGACAAGACACCACATCCAGCAAGAAGCAAAGTTCCAGCGCAGGTAGAACTGCTAGAGCGGTGTGGAGGAACCAAGTAGAAAAAGACGCTCACATTTGGCAGTGCAGCGGCAACAAGAGACCGGAAAGTCCAGTTTAATAGGTGCAGAGTCGCCGCCAGATTTCGGGTTTAGCTTCACGGAGGCTTAGGGCAAAGACCGGCATTGAGGCCCAGACGCTTTGAGCTTTGCCAAAGCTTCTGTGTCCTTACTGCAGCAACAGCAGAGTGGATCCGGTGCTCGTGGCGTGACACATTCGCAACAAACAGAAACCTTAAACTTCCGAAAGTTCCCCACCTTCTTGTCGGCGTCGGTCACTTCAATGCCTGACCCCATACGTAGAAAATGCTGGCCGAGGAGTAGGCTGCTCTTGACAGCGACAGGTGATAACAGGTCCGAAGTGATCCCTCTCCAGACCCTCTCACAATCTCCATTTTCATGCACAAGCCCTCAAGATTCATCCAGAGGCTACTTCAAACCATGTTGAGATCACGTGCTTCCCACCTTGCACGGCGTCCGCAGATTCCTGTAGCGCCTCTGCGTAGGCATCGGGATTGTTGCCATCCTCGCAAGTGGAGTCTCCCCCTTGTGTTCCGGAGGGCATGCATGTCTTCGGGAAGACTGCGGCCGCATGATTCTCTTCTTTCCTTCCTTCCTTGCTTGCAAGCACTTTCTCTCTCTCTCTCTCTGTCTCTGTCTCTGTCTCTCTCTGGCATTGCAAGCTCTCCGGCACGTGTCTGCACTACACATCACTACGCTGCTGAGACTCCTCCTCGGCCCGCTGCTCTGCAGCACTGGGCTCTATGGTGGCGGGCTCCTGGACTCGGCCATACTCAGCCCAAAGGAAATAACCCGGGCAGCAACCAGTCAGGGACGGGTTTGACAAGCCGACAAAAGCGCCAGCTCGCTCTCTCTCTCCCTTTCTTCCTTCTTGTGCACTGGGGTCGCCCGAAGGCGTGCGTGAACACGAAGTCAGTTGGTGAAAGTTGCTTTACCTGCGGGTTTCCCTGGGATTCTTCTTTTGGACCTCTCTCTCGCCTCCTCGTCGTCATCAGGCACGTTGGCTGCTGAGACGGATATCTGGCAAAAGGATGCACTTAAAGGCTGCAGACAGCATGCGAACGTCAGGTGCAGGGCACCCTTCAAACCACTAAACAAACCCCCGTGACGGCTCTTTTCCAAACTCAGCCTCCTGCGGCCTAAGCGACTTGTGGCTCGAGGGTTTCACTGAGTTTGTGGTGGGGCTCAATGTGAAGTTTTCTGTGGTTTCAGAGTCGCGGCTCATCCGCCGAGGAGGTGCCCGTGACCATGTTGTAGTAGTAGACCTGCCAGGAGCTGGGTGGCTAGCTGTTTGGCGGCTCGACTTCCCTAAGCTGCAGACATAGAAATTGGAACCTTGTGGGCTTGTGTAATCCCCAAAGTTGAATACAAAGTGCAAGAGTACTCAGACGTGTCCAGGCCAGCCTTGCCGGTCGACTTGGCACGGATTCGGATCCAGTTCGGTTTCAGCGGGGGCCTTGCTCGGGTGTGCTTGTGTCGACTGCACAAACACATGAATACTGAGTATCAATATAGTGAATATACACACAGATATTTATTTTGTTATACTTCTATAATCGTTGCGGTACTTGTCTACTATCTATCGGTTTTGATTACAAACATTTACAACTCCACCATCATCAACTGATTTTTCGGGCTTGAAAAATTACTCAAGATCATTCGCAACCCCCCCCCCAAAAAAAAAAAAAAAAAAAAAACACCCAACTCGGGATTTCGGCTTGTCACAGACGCACGCGCACGGCAAGTGCACGCGCACGCGCACGCGCACGCCCCCACACACACTCTCTCACACACACACACACAGAGACACACACACACACACACACACTCACGCTCACGCTCACGCTCACACTCACACTCACACTCACACTCACACGCACACATACATCAGGACATCATCCCCGAACAACACCCTTCGGCAAACTTCGACCAGACTGGCCCAGGACTTCTCCACACCTTGATCACGGGAATCCTGGGCAACGCTTCATCCTGATTTCAAGCCCTCACTCCGGGACCCACAACTTCGGCTCCGTGGTCACCCTCGCGTGAATGCGAAAAAAAACGCCCAAAGGAAGAGATGGACTTTCCCAAGCCGAGAGATGGATTTTTCAAAGTCTAAGCAGCGCTATCGGCACATCTCAGCCTCCCAGGGCCCCGGCAAGGATCCAAAGAGTCGGCCCTGGGCCAGTTGCCACCTCTCGGCTTCCAGAGGCACCGAGAGGTTAAGCTCTTGGGGTAGTCGCCTTTCTTGGGTTTACCAGGTTTCTTAGTGGTTTGCAAGGGTTCAGGGTGTATTCATGTGCCGGCGTGAAAGGATGCTTTCTTGGCTGTGCGACGCAACCGGCACTGAGAATGTTCGAGACTTCGGTGGTTTTACAAGTATGGCCTTGACACTCTGACACGTGGTTCTGGGTGGACGTTTGCATGTTGCATGTGCCACGCTGCATCTGAACACTTCAGTCTAGGCGCTAACATCTTTGCAAGGGCAGCTTAGATCCAGGCTCTTCCGGCGTGGAAGGTGGCTTTGGCGTTGGCATGGGTGTCTGCAGAAAGCCACAGACGCATGAGCTCCCCAAGTCACACGTCCCAACATCCCCACAGAAATGGAGCGCATCTCAGGCCCCGCCTCAAACTGCCTCAAACCTGCACTGTCTACTTAGTCTACTCTGGCCGATTTTTGCCGTGCCTCTGGACACTTCTCCGCCTGGCACCAATGAGCGAGATATGTACAGCTAATTGCTCCAATGGTCCAAGCTTGTAGCCGAAGATGACAGACAGATGCATCTTCCCATGTAAGGCAACGCAAGACCACTGCGTAATGTCAAGGCTAACGAACAGATGTGTCTGCACGGCCTGTAGAAACTCAATGGAGTCTGCGATCGGATCATCATCATACAGGCCCCCCTGCATCGCTCGATAAATGTCACAACGTGAATCCAAAGAGGCCGCCTTGTAGGTTTAACAACTGGTTTACACTTGTGTCTCATATTGTCTCTTCGTGTGGCATGCTTTCCAAATCTCATGCATGCCATATCACAACCATCATTCAATTCCTCTTCCCAAAAGCACCAGCTCTCAATCATCTCGGGGCTAACAAGCCCCTCCCTTTCGCACGAGAGTACGTATGTGACTCTTTGACATGGGCCGGTGATGGCCTGCAAGTCGGGGAGCACTTCCTCTTCTTGGAGCGCGTCCTCTTCCTGGGGCACGTGCTCCTGACGGCTCTGCTCCAAGAAATGACACGGTGGGCTCTGCCAATAACAGTCGAGAAAGTTGGCGGAGTTTCGTTTTGGCCGCAGGAGGCGAGTGCGGGAGGCGAGTAGTAGGGGTAGTGGTAGTGGTAGTGGTCGTGGTCGTGGTAGTGGAAAAGTGAAAGTGGTAGTGGTAGTGGTCGTGGTGGTGGTGGTGGTGGTGGCGGTGGCGGTGGCGGTGGTGGCGGTGGCGGTGGCGGTAGCAGTAGTAGCAGCAGTAACGGTAGTAACAGTAGCAGCAGTAGTAGCAGTAGTAGCAGTAGTAGCAGTAATAGTCGTCTTCGTCGTCGTCGTATGACGCAGGGAGCCAAATGGCCGTTTGCGTTGTGCCATCGTTGACCATCTCAACCTTAGCGAAGTTGTAGGTCTCACATCAACGTAGCTCGCTTCTCTTAAGGACACAGTGACATTGTCCTTTTTGTTGCGTAAATACTATATCTTTATTCAGGATGTCAACTTATTGCTTCGTTGTGTAAATTAGAGTTACTCTTCTTGTTGTTGTTGTTGTTGTTGTTGTTGTTGTTGTTGTTGTTGCTACTGTTGTTGCTGCTGTTGCTGCTGCTGCTGCTGCTGCTGCTGCTGCTGCTGCTGCTGCTGCTGCTGCTGCTGCTGCTGCTGCTGTTGCTGTTGCTGTTGCTGTTGCTGTTGCTGCTGCTGCTGTTGTTGTTGTTAGTAGTAGTGGCGCTGTGTGTGTGTGTGTGTATGTGTGTGTGTGTGTGTGCGTCTCTCTCTCTCTCCCTAATTCTTCTTTGCGATGTGGTCAAATGTGGGCTTGTCTGGCAACCACTCTAGAAACACTATCAGCCCTGGGTTCTTGCTGTCCGATTTGGAACAGACAGCCGTGAATGGCTAGGGCTTCATCACACCCCTGATTTGTGTTCAACTTCTTCGTTTCCCGTTTGCTTGCCAGGATTATGCAGGAAGATGAAGAAGTGACACCAATCTCTGTACTCGACAAGATTGCACGCAATGGAAAAAATGGTTCTCTCGCCCACCTGGGTCCCTTAATTGAACGGAACGGGGGCGAGCCCGGGGGTTTTGGCAGCGACACAATGACATGCCCCGTCCTCCTCCATGAACAAACTTGGCCCGTCGCGCTCCTGCACCCAGGGCATGAACTTGCCGAGATTTGCTGGTTTTGATCTACCTCTAAGCTCCGATGCCTGCACCTCCAGCTCTTCTGCGCCATCCAGTTCCTGCATGGGGCAGCTTGGAGCTGCGGTTTGTGGAGAGTAGAAATACTTCACTGCTCGGAAGCCTCCCCATCTCCGGCCACAAGGGGCTTGTGCCGCTTCATGCCTCTGGAAGCCAAGACCTTGTTCCGTCATGGAACTCAGGGCGTCTAAACGACTGCGAAAGTACTGCAAGCTGCGCACTCCTCTTGGACCCCTTCCTTCCCAACATCTTGGGCTTCCGGCTTGGACATTTCGCGCCCAAATTGTTGCGGCAGCGTTTTGCTTCGGCTCCTTACGGTTGCTGGATGTGAAGGAAATGAGAGCTTCGTTTTGTTGTCCCTTTTCTTGCTGACTTTTTCTACTTGGGACTAACGCGCTTGAGTACATGAGAGAGAGAGAGAGCTGGCTTTTCCCTTGCCCTGTTCTAAGGAATGAAACCTCGAGCAGCTAAAAAGACCTTACAACTTGGGCTTCTTGCTCATCCAACTCACAGGGTAAAAGACATTAACTGGTGAGGAGATCATATGGTCTACTCATGCGGTAACAATATGATCTTCCTCTTGACAGTTCCAGCATGTGAAGTACTATAATTGAAACGGTAGTTGCCTGTGATCAACCAAGTGCTCATGAAAAATCCTGACTAATAATGTGAGCTCGCGTCGCTCTCTCTTTTCGCTCATTCCTTTCGCTCGGTTACATTCTTATTACGACTATAGTGAGTGAACGAATGGGCCATGAGCGTAATGAAGCGCGCCATGAATGAAATGAACGTGCACTTTTCTTTTTACTTGCAATTCGGGCGTCATGATATTCTTTCTTCACGCCCGTATAGTAACAAGCAATCTTTGTACATGCTGTAATAACAAGACTGAGTTCTTGGGGGCATTGTTTCACCTACTTTTTTGTCCTCTTAGTAGTTGGTGTCAATTCGAGATATGGCGTGAGCTAAATGGTAGACGGGCTCACGCTTACATTCCTAAGGCATGCGAGAACTTCCACTCTCTGCCGACGTGTTCATGGACCTTTCCTTGCACTCTAACTTGCAGCGTTTGCTCAATGACTTCCTTCCCCATGACAAGGGCCAAGCAAAGAGCAACACATCGCATGAAAGGTGACAGCAAGCCAAGGAGCCAAGGAAACGGTGGGGCATAGAAGACAACACTCCCCCAAACCCCAAACTGAAACTGAGCCCGAGTAGCAGCAACCCTAAAACCCCACAAGAATGGCTGTCAAGCCCGTGGGTGGGACCTCGACAGTGAAGGACACGCGATCCCCAAGCTTCAGGCCATCTGGCACCTGGAAGCATCTCTCAACGTTTAGGGCTGCTGCTGGGGATTTGGGGAATGGGGAGGCCGAGGGTTCGCCTCATGGACAATCGCATAGGATACCTGCGCCCCTAGTTCTCTAATTTTACTAAAGAATTCTATGACGTCCCCACCAGGAACCAACAAGTTTAGGCAACTGTTTGCGCGCAGAGAGTTTTGATGCGGCACCTCGTCTGCTGCTATTTCGGCATCTTGCCCATGGACATCCGAGATGTCCTTTTCCAGCTGGCCATGAGAGCTGAAGCGAATTACATCAAATCGATTCCGCAAACCAGACCAGAGGCAGAAGTTACAGATTTTCAATGCACCAGCAGTCCTGGCAGCTCACCTGATAGCGGCCGGTCTTTTTGTTTGGCCTCCTGTGCTGGTAGATGTGATAGGCAGGGGGCTCGAGTACGTGCACTGCATCCGACTCCGTCCGAACACGGAACCCAAAGCGCAGTTCTCTTTGTTAAGGTCTGAGCTGGACAAGTCCGAGCATCCGCAAGGGCACCTGCTTCGCTCAAGAACGCCGCAGCATGTCAGAATCCATGAAGGCACGGACCAAGCTACCAAGCTCACCCCCCCAATCATCCCCAAGCCTTGCCATTGCTCGAGGCCGCAGGGAGCGGAGGCTCTTTGGCCTTCGTCATTCTCACAAGAGATGAATTTCGATGATCTTGACGTGCAGCACGTGGAAGAGTCTCCGAAACATTCTCAGAGATCATCCAGGCTGCAGAGCGCCTGCCGCTTGGCTCTTTGAGGCAGCGGCGCCTCGGGCTGTCAGCACTAGACTCAAAATAGGTCGACGTGTGGCAACTGCCCCATCTGCCCCAGCCCTCGGCATCTGCCTCACCGGCTGCCGCGCGCAGCTTCTTGGTTGGCATCTCCCTGGCCCCGGCCGATGATGTCTTTGCAGCCTTTGTGGCCTCTCGAAGGTTTTTGAAACTGGAGGTGCACGGATGAGAGCAACTGCCAGACTCGGCCTTGGGCAAAGTCTGTGATGTGGCCTTCCTGCAGATTGTCTCAAGCAGAGGGGCATGCTGTTTCTCGTTTTGGGTGGTGGTGATGGTGATGCTGCTGATGATGCTTGTGAATCACTGTGTACTTTGCAGTTGTTGATGCTGATGTTCAAATTACGTTGGTGACCACAGGCGCAGCATGTTGCCGCTACGAGCAAGTAATTCGCGCCGGACATCAATGTGAAGCTCCGAATAAACTTTGTAGCATAAACCAAGCCTCTGCAGTAATTAAACCTCGCACTACACGACAGCCAACTGGCATCTGCGATCTTCGGCGCCTCTTGTTGCTTGGAAGTCGCCAAACCTCAAGCCGCTCAGACGAGACGACGTGCTATACTATCACATGCTGCAGCTGCAACTTTCCTGGCTCCTTCCCGGCCCATTGAAGATTATTGCTTGGCTGGCAACATTTACCGCCAGCGGCGCCAAGTTGGGCCGCGGGACAACGCCAAACCTGGGGCTGTGGGAATAAAGGCACAGGATGTCAGTAAGTCGAGGACAGTCTCTTCAATGGCTCTCAACGGCTGTCAGATTGCAAGTCTTGATCTTGTGTGCTTGTGACCTTCGGGATTGGCCATGCGAAGGGCAGTTCTTGAGATCTGCACGCAATCTCATCATCCAAAGAAACAAAGATGGTCCGACCATCGTCCAGGATCTCGGCTTCCTGTCCATACCTGGAGCAAGGCCTACTAAACTCTTCAAGGCACCGTCCCAACATCCATTTATGGGGATGTGTACGACTCGTCCGCCTGGCCGTGACACTCTCGCAGAGCACAGCCAGGTGCTCAACACGATGAATGTCCCGACGGATCACCTCGACACTTCCGCCGTAAGATAAAAGCAGAAAGGCATCTAGTTCACTTCGATGATTTCCTGAGCTCTGCACAACTTTGCCAGTGAAGGGCGAGCCGACCCAGGCCTCGCAAAAGGGGGGTGTCTCTTTTTGACTGCCAACTCCGCCTTCGTGATCGCCTCCCGCCACACCTCCTCTGCAACCTCAGCCCGACACACAACTCCAGTCGAAAGCCTTTCCACTTCGAGATTCCATGAGCTCAAGAAAAGGCACTCCCGGTCAGATTCGAAGCATCCGCTGTCTCGCTTGGGACAACAATGTTTGAAACGTTGGAGTCCTGGAATACCCCGAGAAGCCTCTGGCGGACAGCCATCCAAAATGCTTCAAATAGACTGCACACCTGCCAGCCTGAGGTCTGAGAGGGGCTAAATAAGGCCAACACTCCCAACCTTACACGCCCCTAGCTTCGGCATTCGGAAGGGGATAAGTGGCACATCCAGCCGAGTCAGAATGCATGACATCACCCTCTTGGGCCAGGACCACCATGCCGGTGCAGAAGTAAGCCCGCTCGAAGGCATGCGGTGCTTCAGCAATTTTGTTAATGGGTCTGTGTCTGTCTGTCTGTCTGTCGTGGCTGGCGGGCGAGGGGGTGGGTGGAGGGAAGCGGAAGTTGATGCTTGTTTGGGTTTGGGGGTCCGGCTTAGGGCTACGTGCACATACAGTCTAGCATGTGTGTTTTGCCATTCACATAGTCATTGGCTCTCTGGGCTTGAAGCTTGAGCAAGGGGGGCCACATATTCGGAACCGGTGGCCAGACGAAGTGTATGCCGCGCAGAAAGCAACAGGACTAGGAATGTAATATCCCCAAAGACGGCGCCATGTCTCACACGGATTGTGAGTCGGAGGCATGGTAGATGGCACCATAACATGCAGAAACTGGTACTCGTTCACATGTCATTTGCACCTCGAACTCGGCAAAGGGCACAGGTGGATCTCCATTTCTGGCAAGGGCACAGACTCAGAGTGTGAGCGACTCATGCTCGCAACGACTTTGCTGCGCAGGACAGCAACCTTAGAAAGCAAGATACCTCTGAAGCCCGTGAAAAACCATTATGCCAGCGAAGTCTCCCAACGGTGAGAGACCACATATGTTTTACAGCCTGAAAATGTTGAGGGCACTGTGGCGGGAGTAAGTTTGTTGAAGTCGGGTGGCACCAGCGGCTAGAGGAGGTACTTGGGAGCATGATGAGAGAACGATGTCACCTTGACACCCAACGCGACCTCCGGGCGTCCTCCGAACACTACGTGTGTACTGCAAATGTCGACTTTCAAGAGCTCCAGGCACCCTCCGCGTAATGCCATGCACTGTGCAAAAGTCGAGTCACTGAGTTTGGGGCCTCTGCACCTTCGCTTGAACTACAAAAGTCCACGATCCAGGCTCCAGAAACATTCAGAAACTACGGGGCCAGTTCGGCACCGCGCAAGAACTCGCTTTGCACTTCATGAGGAGCACGCACACACGGGAGGGCCAGCTTTCGATCTCGAATGTTTCAAGGGCGTCGAGTTTGGAGTCCGAGACCTTTTCGGGCTCGCAGTTTCGAAGTTTGAGAGCTACTCGAGAGATTGAGGCTTCGATTGGGTCAGGCGCTTGAGTTTGAGACCCCGCGAACTTGAAAGCTTGAAGCGCTGCACTTTGACGTTTGCTGACACCGGAGCTCGAAAAGCTTGGTACTTTGAACGTGTCGGATATTCACCGTTTGAAAGTTTGTAACAGAGCGAGTTTTCAAGCTCTCGAACTCACCAACTCCAACGCACATCAAACAATCACTCTCTCAAACTGTGCTTTGAACCCGTAGAAGTTTCATTTTTCAACTCGAATGGGCTTCGGACGTCGAACTCTCTCAAACTCAAACTCCAACTCTTTGCGGCGTCGACCCCGCCTCGACCCACGCAAGAGCCCAAACGATTAACTCGAAACTTTCCAACTTTCAAACTCAGAAACTCTCAAACTCAGACAGCGGACCCGGCTTTCGAGTTCGAGAGGCTTCAAGCTCTCGAACTTGTGATGCCGAAGCCCAAACTGTTTAGCTTTGAGTTTTGCAAGCCCGGGATGCTCGAAAGTGTGAACCTTGAATTTTAACATGTTTAAAAACTTAAAGGGCCTCGAAAGCCTAAAAGTTTGCAGTTCGCGAGGGCCGTGCTTACATTCGCCCATTCTCAAACTTCGAACTCGGAATGTGCGAAGTCTCGAATTTTCGAACTCCAAAATCTCTCAAACGTTCGAGCTCGAAAGTCTTCGAACTCTCAAACTCTCAACATCGCGATGCCCTTCCAAGAGCGCTGCTGGGGCCCACCAAAAGTGATGACAGCTCGGCAGTTCATGACAGCGACGCTCCACGATGACAGTTCTCCACCCGAAGAGAACGCGCACGGAACCCAGGCGCGAGCGCCCGTTGCGACACCGTAGAATGCGAAAATACTCCAGGCTGGACGGACAAAGCAAACCATCCAACAGCGCAGAACGCAGGAAAGTACGCACCTGCCACATTTTCGCAACAGAGGCCACGCAAAGTGCACGGGACCTAGGCGGGAGCACGATTTCGAGTATGGAACGTGCACCGGGCCTAGGCGAAAGCGCGATATGGAGGCCCAAAAACGCGAAAACCATGTTTAGAGCAATCAAGACCCCCTTACCATCCCCGTGGAGTTGGCACACGGAGCAGAAACAAAGGCACCAAACGATTCAAACCGACCGAACTCCAATAGGGCAGAGCTGCCTCGCTCGCCTGGCACAGTCGCTGCACAGCTGCGGCGCCGCACCTCAGGTGGGGCATAGCTAGATCCGTGACCTTTTTACTACGGCTTAGGGTTGCAAACTAGGTGTTCAAAAGTTCGGGTCTCGGATGGTCTTGAGTGTTGGGGTCATTTGATCAGCTTGGGGCTTTAGGCTGAATGTATGCAATCGTGCGCTGGCCTGTGGTCAGTAGTTGCATGTAGCTTGGCCGCTGTGTATTCCTGCCCTGGCGCAGACATCGGGTTGTGCCAGGATGTCACTTTAGCTCAGTTCCAAATCACTACCAACGTGCTTTTTTGACAGCTCGTCCCTCTCGGTGCCAGCCCAAGCAGGACCGGAAGTTGCGCACAAGCGAAGTTGGCAAGTCTCCAGGTGTCCTGGACGCAGCTGGGTGTAGCGCGTTGTATCAAGCAAGGTACCCAAGATTCGATTCACATCCTGCGGCCGCTTGGGTTGTAGAATGGCCACAAAGCCCTCATCTTCTGGGCAACTTTGGAGCAACCCTGGCTGCTCTCGCAAGGCCCCGTTCAACTCGATCAAACGCGCCTCGATGCCGGCTGAAACCTGAATCTGCGAGCCGTTGTCCAGGGAGAGGTCGCAGAGGATGGTCCGTGGAAGCAGATTCGCCCCACCCCTTCCGCGCTTGCCATAGGCCTCATGTTCACTGACCTCCTCGCGAAAGTGGACCTCGCACACCCGAGGTGCAGATGGCAGCAGCAAAGTATGCGATGGGGCGAAGCCCAACACAAACAAGCCGTTGGGATGTCGCTGGACGCACATGTCTTGAGACTTCCCGCCGCAATCAAGAATGTAGTACCTCACAAGCCCTTTGCTCAGCACATCCGCCAGCGAGTTCGGCTCCGTGACCATGTCCATGGCTGGCACAACATCGGGCTGCATTCTGCTGAGTCTCCTGTATCACATGACTCGATTGTGCCCACCGTTCATCATAAGACATCCCCATGTTTTCTTCGCTCATGAGCATGTCGGTCACGTCGGCTTGTCAATGTCAAGAAGATAGGTTGGCTAGGTCATGCGAGGTCAGTGTGATAGAGAAGACAAGAAGTCTGTTATTTCGCGATGTTCCCGATCAGATGTGCTCAGTGCATCACATTGAAAGCCAAATATTCCTGCGGCTGCTGGTCAGCACAATCACGAACATGCGGACCACCCCAACACCTCAAGCCTAATGAACCAACTACAAAACCTTAACAGGCTCCCAACAAAGCTCCAAGAAGCCCCCTATCAAACCCTAAAACCCTAAAGTCGCAAAATTTGCGACTTTAGGGTTTTAGGGCCCCTGCACATCGGTGGGCACTCCCTCTCAGGGCCACGCGATTGACGAGGCCGCAATGAGGACAGCATAACGCCTTCCGGATCTTCCAGGACATGAAAGGGCCCTAGTGTTATATGGGGGGCTGGACTACGTGGTTATGTAGGGTAGTGGGATTGAGGTATCCCTTGACTTCAAAACGTTGGGACCCGGGACTGCTAGGTAGGCGAAGATGCCGAGGATATGGGCAAGAAGCAAATCAACAGCGGAACCATCCTGCGAAAACAAAGGGGAGTAAAGAAGCGAGTCCTCCAGCTCCACATCTGGTGGAGGCTCCTGCAACGTTGCAGCCTTGCCCGTGGAGCTGAAGGGCAAAGTGGGAATTTTATGGCTCGAGTTGAGGTACCCAGGACCGAGAATTTTAAGAATCCATGCCGGACTTGGTCAGATGAGTCTATGAGTGAATCCTGCACTTAGTTGCGTCACACTGCAATAGTGGTCATCAAGTCTTGATGCTGTTCGAACTGCGTCACATTCCAGACAGTACTCAGGTGCTGGTCTTCGCATCCAGCCTGTTTTGACCGTACAGTACTTCTGCATGTCATTGTGCTCTAAGTTCTGTGGTTCTGCACACTCGTTCCTTTGACATGATACCGGCAGCTCGCTGAAGCCGCGACACGCCAATGACCCACAACCTTCTTATGTGGACAGATCTTGCGTCACATCCCTGCCTCTCATCGCTTATGTGTGCCTCCCGGTATTTGTGTTATGGGCCCCCCGTGGCGCTCTCCGAGGGATGATCTCCGATGTCTTCCACGGCTTGCAAGAACCAGGGCGTTCTAAGCTTCTTTACAAGGACTTGCTATCCTGCAGGAGGGTGCAGCCCCTATGTTCAGCTTCCAGCTTCTCTGTCCGGCTCATCGTAGCTGTAGTACGGACCTTTCACAATGTGGGATTGCATGGTTGAAGGCCGGCCAGGACAGGAACAGAGGCTCCCGTCTTCTTTCAATGCAAAGGAAGGCCTCACCAGAGGCCAATTATGCCAATTGCTTCGGGTCTGAGTGCCTCGCAATCTCGGGGCAGCTGAGCCCGGAAAACTCGAGCCTTCGTGGTCAGTATTCTGGTCTCTGCTTGGGGGTGTTTAGGCCGAATTTACACATGGGGGGGGGGGGGCCATATACGATTCTGAGACGGGAATCACCTTGTAACCACACACAAACAAAGGCATGCTTTCGGCGCGCCTCAAGAACATACTTCCGACACACTGAACTTGGATGTCAATCGCCGCAGCTGGTCTAAGCATGAGATACTGACACATGAAGCCGCAAGTGCGATGCAGCCATGCACTGACTGGACCTGCAAGATCTCTGGTTCCAACTAGTGGTGGACTGCACAGGGCAGGGGGGCACCTCGTTTGGCTGGCAATTGGTGCAGACGAAGATGTGGAGAGTACGATGGAAGCAAGACTCCTTCGCGCCGAACATGCCGATCCCCCTTGCTTGGCTTGCTTGGCTGCCTTTCAGTGTCATCATGGGTTGGTTACCCCGCCTTCCGCGTTCCCTGCGAGGCATAGATCTGGCGAAAACAGCAGACATGAGTTCGTTTAATGCGTAACAGACTATTGCAGATCCAGAGCTGCAAACCCACATTGCCAGCCTGCATTAGAAAGCGCAGTCGTGAGCTGCACCTGCACAAACTCTCAGGAATAGCATTGTTGCAACATGCTTCAACAGGTTGTACCATGTTGTTACACATCTTGTAACAGATTGGGCTCTTGGGCATTCGGGATGATACCGTAGCGGTACAGGGCTGAAGTCCATTCTGAGGTTGCTAGTGATGTGGGGGTGCTTGGACCTCACAGCAGGAAGTTTTCAAACGTTTGTGGTAGTGACCGAGAACTATTCTCTATTTCCCTTGTTGAGTTGTCATTGCTCTTATGACGGGCATACTTCCCAGTATGCGAAATGTCGCGATGCAAGTAAACACCGCGTACAGAAGATGACGATTGTTTCTCATGTTCTCTAATTCGTCCACTCGTTGCTACTGTGGGAGTTTTTCTGAGGCCACTGCGACTGGCACCTTGAATTGCCGGCATCCGGAAGCCATGTTTCTTGTTATGGCTCACACAAACCAGTGGGCCTAGAACGTTTTTGGCCTGTCGATACTACAGCTTCACCAGCTCTTAATGGTCTGTATCGTGTAGTCCGTACAGTGTAAGAGCTGTTCAGGGTACCGAGCAAGGCCCATTATGCCATGATGTAGATGAGCCACCAAGTATGTTCCCGGAGGCTCGAGGGTGCCTGCAACAGGCAAGCTCCTCTTCTGCGGGCAGGTTCTCTGGGATCAGCCTCAAGATTGGAAGCACACGAACACAAGTTTAGTTTCGACAGTTCCTGACCTGGTCACCTAGTCGATCCCAATTCTGAGTTGCTGGCCAGGCTGGTTGTCCACCCACTTTGGATGGGAAGAAGTGCCTCGAAGGGGTTTTCAAGTCGGCTGCCGGACTATGCCAGCCCTTTGCCTGCTACCCGAATGGCGCAAGGTCTCGGGTTGCTTGGAACTCAGGTCTCGACCTTCGCAGAAGACGCTTCTCCACTTCGGTGGGCGGGTCCTGTTGCAGATTGTAGCCACAACAGCCCCAAAAGCTTGGTGTGGACTGCTAAAGTCGATCACTACTTTTTTCATGACTGCCTCGCAGCCATGACGAATGCTGTGATATGTGTTGGTTACACAACAAAGCCTCTGTTGAGCTCCGCGAAAAGTTTTGGCCCGCGACTCAAAAACATAAAGCGCAGCTCCTATACTAGAAAGCTTTCAACTTCAGATTTCAAACACATGAGTTCACTGGCCCCTTGCAGATTTGTCGTCTTCGTCCTATCGTAGAGCATGCTCGCACGTTGCTGGAACCTTGTCGTTAGATGTTCTCCCCTCCCGTATGTCCATGCCCAGTGCTATACTCAAGTTGGACAAGGCTTCGACATCAGAGACAGTATAGAGCTTTGCAAGGTCTAGGAAGAAGCTTAGGATATCGTGTTCCGATGTGTTTTGCTCGCGCGTCGCGCTCGCGAAGCTGCAGCGCCATGCAGATCAGCAGCGCCTTGCCAGGGGTAATGCTCTGAGAATGCTCAGCTGTCCGATGCAAAGGCAAGGCAGCTCCATGAATGCGAAGCAAGGCATCCGAATGTTCTGTTTCTTCCTGCGAGCCTGGCACACGACACGATCTGCTACACGTATCTTGTTGTGAAACCAGGGAGCGGACAGCTTTCGCCAGAAGGCATGAGCACATTGCATGAGACCAGTGCCGTTGTTCCGGCTCAGCAACATCCGCGCCCTGCATTGCGCGCGTGAAATCATCGGTTTTTCTAAGCACGAGAGAGGGAAGAATCAGTTCAAAAGCACAAGAAGATCCAGGTCTTCAATCCTCTGACAAGCGCACGGTCACTTCTGACTCCACAGCTCGACCTATTGCTGCATGTCTCAGCCTTTGGCCGGGGGCATGCTGGCAGAGAGGTTTGATTGAATATGGCTGGCCTATCAACCTCAGAAGCCCTGAAGGAAAGATGGGGACTGAGAAGAAGCTGGGGAAGGTTGAGGGGTTTCAGGTATGGCCCAGGCGCCTCAACATTTTCAATTCCAGTGCGAGTGGCCAATTCACACCTACGTCACACCTTTCACTCGTCTTCCTCCTCGTCTTCTGAGCTGTCTCCGTCATCCTCGTCATCGACAAGGCCTCACGTCACATCCAACTAGCAGCTGGTGCGTTGACCATTCTTCCCACTACAAGAACGAGTCCCCCACCGATCTTCCTGCTGGATCCTGGCTCCTTGCCTGTCACCCGACTGTATATCGGGCCCTTAGCCAAGGAAGGAAAGTTGAAGCTAGACAGCATGCTCAGTGCCCACCGACATGCTGCACACTGCTATCATTGGCGGGCTGCCGGACCAGGATGGGTTGCCCTTTCGCCCGAAAACTTCTCAAGGGACACAGGCCCTGAACTTGTAGGGCCGAGGATCCATGTTCATCTTGTCTGAGGCAGCTGTGCCCAAGCACCAGTACAGGCTACGGGTGGGCTGCTAGCTGATGGACCTTGATGGTCGATGCCCCAGTACTTCCTGTGTGGATGGGAACGACAGACGTCCACCAAAGCCATGTTGGTGAGTCCCAGAGACATCCACATCACTCAACACTAGTATGCCGGACACATCCCGATTCCGTTTCAATTCGGTCTGTTGGTGAAGGTTGAATCTGGAACAAGCTTCCGAGCTGCCTGATGGGAGCTGGAGCCACCGAACGCTCACCGCTTACTCTGCGGATGGGAACGAGAGGCTGGAGCCAATAGAAGCTCAAGCTTCAGAGACATCCGAGGTAGCTGTCGTTTGCTTCGCGCACGGACGCAAAGCTGCACTAATGATGATTTCACACACACACACACACACACACGTCCTCCTGGGTCTGAGATTCTGGCAGGAAGGGCCCAGTCCAACCACTGATCCCGCGTCCTCACAATATGCTAGTGCGTATCCACTCTAGATTGGCGTAGATGCATGAAATTTGCAAAGGTCCTTTCTTTCCCGCCTCATCAAAACAGTCCACCCTTGCTCACACAAGTCCGAACTTCAGGAAACGATTGCGTCGCGAAGGGTCTTGCTCGTTGTTCAAGACCCAGTCAAGAGTATCGTGACTAGGCTAAGAGTATCGTGAGCAGGCTCAGGAAATCTCAGGAAACCTGGCCCTGCTTTCGGGCCAGGTTCTGACATGTTCCGCTAGTGCCACGTCGGTGAGCTGGGGCAGAGTCCCTTGCCAGACCCAGGGAAGCTCATCTAAGGAAAAGGCACGGCCTCCGAGCTGCAAAGTAACCAGGGTTGCACTCAGCACAACCTTCCGCGCATTCTTTGCTGCAGAAGCTACACAGCTGCTGGCTCCTTAACTACAGTAATCCGGGCTGCTTCGTAGACTGCCTGCTCGCGCACCGCATCGGCGCAGGTTATTCTCTGATTTACAGTCAGGACATTCAGGACAGCATGACAGCACGGATTGTGCTGCCCGCACATGGAAGCCTCAATATTCGATCTCCTGTCGCAGCATCCCACAGCTCCTTGGCCAGTGGCACTTAGGGGTTTAGGGTCCAGAGTCTCCAGAGCCTATAGGGTTTCTAGGGCTTAGGGTCCAAAAAGCTTTAGGTTTTTTTTTTTGGGGGGGGGGTTTCCTTTTAGTCAAGACTCAGCGCGGTCCGAGCAAGCTGTGACCACCCTGGAAGCATCTGATGACAATGTGGCCGCAATCACAAAGCCCCCTGGACAAGGAGCTCGCTGAGAGCTCTTGGGGTTCCGGGTTTAGGGTTTAAGGTTTAAAGTTCAGGGTTTGTGGGGTATAGCTGCGCAGGCAAATAAACAAGCCAAGCAGGACTTGGCAAATGGACGCAACAAGCCGTGGCTGAAAATGTGCTTGGGTTCAGCGCTTTTGGGGCTTGGGGTGCCATATCCAAAAGAGATGACGGCCAGCAGCCTCTTTGGCTACAGACATTTCCTATCTTTCCCCACAGATCAGGAAGGACCTGCCAGGGAACATATTCTGACATGGCCAAGAGATTTTGCTGGGGATTATGGAAAGGTTGAAGCTTGCCTGCTCGACTCTAAGCATCCAAATTTAATCTGGGGTACGGGAACGCTACGAAACAGCCGGTCCTAACAATATGCTTCGGCTTCCAAGAAGAAGGGCTTCGTTTAGGACATGGAAAGGTTCATGTGATGTCGAACTGAGCCTGGAAGCAATGTGGAAAGGCACTGCATGGTCCGGGTGCACCAGAGCTTCACGCCACCTCCACGCCGCACTTGGGGCCATTTGCTTGGGAGCTTAAGAGGGACTTTCATATTAGGGATTATAATAGGGGGGGGGGGGGTACTATACTCCCTATCAAGGACTGCTAGTATAAGGGGGAACATCCCAATCATTCGCTATTGAAAGAAGTTCTTCCGAGCAACTGTTCTCGGGGCCAGCAAAGACTTCCTCGGAGACAGATTGGCAAGGCGCTACAGCACGGTCTGAGGACCTAATAAATACAGTAGTATGCTATATCTAAACCTGATATTGGCGATAGTACTGTATTTTATATTCATATACTACAATATTCTTGTATAACTGAATATAATTAACTAATAATTAACTATGTTGTTGTTACATGATACAACAACACAGACATTGGCTGACTGATGCCCTCACCGACCACTTCAGTCAGGGAGCTCGACCACATCCGAAGGCAACAAGAAGTGTCCGTGCATCCGCTGAAAACCTTGTCACTGCACTTCCCGGAATTGGAAGGGTTGAATTCAAGTTGGTAAGGTGCGGCCGGGAAAATGCCGACCAGAGGCATTGCGACAATCAAGAATATGATGCAATAAACCCTAAACCCTAAACCCTAAACCCTAAACCCTAAACCCTAAACCCTAAACCCTAAACCCTAAACCCTAAACCCTAAACCCTAAACCCTAAACCCTAAACCCTAACCCTAAACCCTAAACCCTGAACCAGCCAAGCAGCTGCAACGCATAAATGGTGCCGGAATGCTTGTTGAGGATGGTTTCGCATGATCCCGTGGCGGATGACCACACCTCATGGCTTGAGTCTTCCAGGCGCCCTAATGCTGCCCTGAAGCCCAAATTGTGCCGAAGCCAAATTAGGCAAACTGAGCCTCTGGCACGTGCGGTGATGCCAGATGCTGTGGCCAAGAGTTCGCTGTTAGCGGAGATGGCAAGCGCTCTGACCGAGTCCAAATGCCCAGACCTCACAACTTCAGCCCAGGACGATGGTTGATCTGGCGCCGCCCTGTACAAAGAAATAGGCTTCATGAATCTGGGCCGGACGCAGAATGTGAAGGCATTCTCCGCTTCTGGCATCCCAGACGCGAGCCGTACGATCGATTGAGGCAGACAGGATTAAGTTGCCTCAGGCTGACTCAAACTACGAGTCGTCACTTGCGCCGGAGGTTTCATGATTATGGTTTCCTCCTCTCTTCACAAATGCTCTTCCGGAGATGCAAATCTGGCATTTCCACATGGCATGAGGCTAGGGTCCTGGCCATCCCGGGAGTAGGTCGCAGCAAGAACTGCAGCACCATGCCCTTTTAGGCGGGCGCTTTCTCGCATCTCTTTCAGACACCAAAGCCTTGGCTCACGTGAAGTCATCGCCGTGCATGGGATGCAGGCCGTGGAGCACAGCATTTTTTCGGCGCTTGGGGGGCGTTCGGCGAGAAGCTTCCTACACTGGCAACGGCACCTTGAAACCCTGAATCTCCAAGCCCCGGCCCGACACCTGAAGTGCTTCTTTCAGTTTGGGCGCCTCAAGTCCTCAGGCCGGGACTGAGGCCGGGCCCCAAAAGCAGCGAAAATGAAAACTGGAGCCATTGAGATAAAGGTTGGAAAGGGCCTTGCTTTAACACGCCCCTACAAAGCAAAACATGCTCACTCATGGCATGCGCTCTTAGACTCTGCAAGTGGACTTGCTGGCAGTGGCAAGATGAGCTGAGCTGCCGGAGTTGAGTGCATGACGCCACCAGAACTTGTGTAGAGCTTGGTGCAAAACAAGCATGGAGGATGTACTCATCGTCCAGCATCC